GCACCCGGGCGGCACTCGGAGTTGGGGCCGCATGGGTTCGGCTGGCAGGGGGGCGGGCGCGGAGGCAGCGCTGGGGAAGGAATGTGGCTGTTACGGCGGAAAGTCCGAGGCATCGTGTTTGTGGAAATGGAAATTACGGAAGATAATGCCGGAAGGTAAAGGTTCAAATAAATAAAGGGAAATGGCACTCACGTTTCTCCACGCAGAACCTGAAGGGGTCGCCGGTGAGGTCCTTGGGGCAGAAGCAGATGGGGTTGTGGTTGACGACCTCGCATTCGGCATTGACTCCGCAGAGCCCCGGGCACGGGTCGCGACACTTCTGGTCGATGCAGGCCTTGTCATCGGCACAGTCGGCGTTGGTAACGCACTGCGGCCGGCATCTGTCCTTCGGGTCACCGATATAGTCGCCAATGCATGAGCACACCGCCGACTGGCCCTGCACGCGGCACTCGGCGTTGACGCCACACGGGGGCGGCACGCACGGGTTGGAGGGTTCCTGATCCACCTTGGGCGGGATGATCTCCGACTTCTCCTCGCACCTGATGTAGGGGTTGCCCATGAAGCCGGCGGGGCAGAAGCAGACCGGCCGGTGGGTGTTCACCTCACAGAGCGAGTTGATGCCGCAGGCGCCCGGGCACGGGTCCACGCACCTGGTGTTGATGCACGCCAGGTCGTCGCTGCATTCCGTGTCGACGGTGCACTCCGGCTTGCAGCCCTCGAACGAGAGTGCGTCGCCGAAGAAGCCGGGGGAGCAGGCGCAGATGGGGCGGTTGCCGGGCGACACCGAGCACAGCGTGTTGGGGCCGCACGGGGAGGGCTCGCACGGGTTGTCGGGCTGCGCCTCGCACTGCACCTTCGGGTCACCTCGGTAGCCCTCGAGACAGCGGCACTGCAGCTTATCGCCGCGCACGTAGCACTCGGCATTCTGGCCACACACGCCGAGACTGCAGCTGGGGGGCGGCACTGCAGGGTGGAAATTGATAATTAACCAATGTAGTACTGCATGGCATATAATATATACCATATAATTCTGTATAAAAAAAATAAAAAAATAAAGTTAAAATATATCACGTCTCGTAGCTTAGGCCTACCTCTGCAGCCAGTGTAGGGGTCGCCGATGAGGCCGGGGCGGCAGTAGCAGAAGGGCTTCCTGTTGGGGTCGCAGAGGGCGCCCTGGCCGCACGGGGACGGAACGCAGGGATTAACGGGCGGCTCGCAGCCCCGGATAGTGTTGGGGTTGCCCACGTAGCCGGGGCGGCACGTGCACCGGTGGAAGCCGTTCACGATGTTGCACTCCGTGTTGGGGCCGCACGGGGAGGGGTCGCACGGATTGGAGGGGGGACTGCACGGCACGCTCGGGGGGTTGCCAATGAACTCCGGCAGGCAGAAGCAGACGGGGGCGCCGCCGACCACGCGACAGCCCGAGTTGGGGCCGCATGGGTTCGGCTCGCAGTCCTTGCCTTCAGGAACTGGAGGTGGGGAATCAAGTAAGACCAGTGGCAGTCAAAGTGAATCACAAGAATTTGGAAACACACACACACACACACACACACACACACACACACACACATATATATATATATATATATATATATATATATATATATATATATATATATATATATATACACATATATATATATATATATATATATATATATATATATATATATATATATATATATATATATATATACATATATGTATTATATACATGTGCATATATATGTATATATACATGTGTGTATATATGTATATATACATATATATACATATATGTGTATATATATGTATATATATGCATATAAATACATATATATACACGTGTATATATATATATATATATATATATATATATATATATATATATATATATATATATATATTATATATATATATATTTATATATATGTATATATATATATATATATATATATATATATATATATATATATATATATATATATATATATATATATTCATACATCCATATACAAATAAATAAATGCCTAAAAGAGAGCCACTCACTGCACTTCTCGAACGGGTTGCCGGTGGTGCCTTTCGGACACACGCAGATGGGGTTGCCGTTGTCTAGCTCGCAGAGGGCGCCCTCGCCGCACGGGTCGGAGTCGCATGGGTTGATGGGCACTTGGCAATTCCTGAGGGGGTCACCCTGGTACCCTGGTGGGCATCGGCATGTGGCACGATGCTGCGTGACCTCGCACACAGCGTTGCGACCGCAGCGGCACGGGTCCTGGCACTGGTTGTTAATGCAGGCCTGCGTGGGCGGGCAGACGCTGTTGTCGCGGCACCCAAGGGCTGCGGAAACGAGGGCGGGTGTTACTGACTGGAAGGGCCCCAGGAGAGTGCTCAGGCTCGCTCCTGAGTGTGAAGTGCCCGAGGTAGCTTTCACATGAGAGATTTCGGCACACTTTTGCTAAGTCAAGTCAGAATTGTCGGTATTACAACGTTATATCAGTGACACATCTGTCATGTCGCTGTGTGTAGTCAGGACAGAAATAAAGGAAGAAATTGTGGTGACGAAGAGACTTACTCTTAACAAGTTCTAGGGCGGCCAGTCTTATAAATGCCTAAGACTCTCGAAACACTACAAAGATTAATATAAAAACACTGAAACTATAACCAGCCTTCCTATAATTTGTCAAGAACGAGCTCCTTGTCAGAGCATTCGGCAGTTAGTGCACGATAAGAGATATGGCGTCTATTACAGAAGGATATCCTCGTGACAAAATGACCAAATCTATGTCTTCTCCCATTACACATAAAAGGAAAACTGTTTAACGCAAATCAAATAATTCATTAGTTTAAAACATGATGGACGCCATATCTGATCCCGAAACACCGACGCCGCGTTCTGAACACCGATCGAAAGGGGCGTCTCTCACTGAGTCCGCAGACGACGTAGGGGTCCCCGAACTGGCCCGGCGGACACGTGCAGACGGGGCTGTGCTGCGCCACCGTGCACAGGGCGTCCGCAGCGCACGGGTTCTTCACCAGGCACGGGTCAAGGCACGTGCCCGAGATGCAAGCCTCGTCGGGCGGGCACGAGGTGTCGACAGAGCAACCGCCAGAGGATACTGAAGGAAGCGTTAGTGTAAGCTACTGGTAGGTTTGAGGAGCAGGGGAAGCTCTGGAGGGAAGCTTTGCTCTAAGCTTAGTCTACGGTTCTTGAGGAAACTTTGGTGAATTAGGCTGTATGTTTAATTTACTATTAGTACTTGGTGTTGTTTGGACTATGTACTGATTTACAATTATGTTTAGTTACTGAGATATCATTTGTTTATACTGTAGAGCAAAGTTGTTGTAATTTAACTACAATGTTTCATGATAAAAATCCGGTTTAACTACACTACTGATGTTGAAGTAAATAACTACAAGGGTAAATGTTACATAAAGAACAGTCAACAAGAACAGTCAAGACAGATAGTCTAAGTGAGCAGAGAGGACCTCTACAGGCGACTCACTCTCTCTCTCTCTCTCTCTCTCTCAATACACACACACACACACACACACACACACACACACACACACACACACACACATATATATATATATATATATATATATATATATATATATATATATATATATATATATATATATATGTATGTATATGTATGTGTGTGTATGTATGTTTGAACGTATGTATACTTATATGTATGTATGTATAAGTACATATATATATATATAAATATATATATATATATATATATATATATATATATAAATATATATATATATATAAATATATATATATATATATATATATATATATATATATATATATATATATAATATATATATATATATATATATATATATATATATATATATATATATATATATATATATATATATATATACGTATATAAGTATATGTATAGATATCCATATACACATGTATATATGTACGTGTATATATGTATATATATATATATATATATATATATATATATATATATATATATATATATATATATATATATATATATATGTATATATATATATATAATATGTTTATAAGATGTATGAATGCAGGTATACATATATAGATATAAATAAAATGTGCTCATTCATATGCATCCCCACTGCCACGCGCGCGCACACAGCCAAGTCGGCCTCGGGTCCCTCCCTGAGTCTTACTCTGGTCACAGTTGTCTCCGGCGAGGCCCGTGGGGCACACGCACTCGGCGCCCCGCCCCTGGGCACGGCAAACCTTCCCTGGCGGGCACCGGATCGCTGAGCACGGTTCCGCGCACTGGCCGTACATGCACGACGTCCCGGGGGGGCACGTGTCATTGCTGGTGCAGGCCTCTACAGGTTGTAAGCAAGGGGGGAGGGGAGAGGGTGGGGGGCGCCCGGGTTAGTTCAGAAGCTAGTTCACCGGAAGGCTGCGTCGGAAGTGAGTGTGGTGTCATGGTGTGCGGGTGTTGTTAGTGGAGTTGTAAGGATAGTGTTTCGGTAGAGTATAGCTTGTGATCAAATGTGTGAGGAGGAGTATATACGTGTTTTATGTAGTGTCAAGGGGAAAGTGTATACTTCAAGCTTATACTTTTGTACTCCGTAAGTTACTGAAACACATATAAAGCATAAAGGACGACACACTCATTTGCAATAAGCTATATATCTACGTGAAAACCCTAGTGGCCACCAATTCATGATGAAAGCACTAACCAATTTTTTTTCCCGATATGAGCCACCAAAATAACCATTTACAAAAGAGAAATCGATTATTTTTGAGAGATTAAACTATCCTAACCCCGTAGTTAATACCCAGATGAAAGCAGAACCATACCGAAGCTTCTAGTTGTAATTGAATATACACACATATATATAAGTAACACCGAATGTAAACATCTATGTTAATCAAATCCCGGAATGATCATCATGATCATCATCCTGTAGCTCACAATTAGGTAAACAAAATCTACCCTGCTTGCCAGTTATTAAGCTCCAGACTTAGATACACGCCAACACAAAAAGAGTAAAAAAAAACAAAAACAATAGCAACGACTACAGAACAAAAAGGGAGACTAAAACCCCAAGTACTCACGGATAATACACTCGATGTAGGGGTTCCCGGTGTATCCCGCCGGGCACTCGCACCTGGCCTGGTGGTTGACGGCTTGGCAGAAGGCCGTGGGGGCGCAGGTGTCCTCGTCGCAGGGGTCGATGCACCTGCGCGAGAGCCGGTCGCAAGCCCTGTTTGATGGGCAGTCCGCGTTGTACTGGCATCCCGGCTGCGGGGTGCTCGCTAGGGGGAGATCGAGGAGATGGTGTCATTAACAGGGCTTGGAGAGAGGTCTGCGTGACACCGAAGGGTGACCATTTCAAAGAGGAGCTTTTACTTGTCGAAACCTCACTGAAAATCTTCAGTGATTTGAAGAACGATTCTTTCTTTCTTTTTTTCTTTCTCGATGCGATATTCGTTCTTTCATGAGAAAGGAAAATGGAAATTTAAAGACGGATTCGTGGTCAAGCTTTATAAATAAGGAGTCAACAGAAATTGTCTGTAAAAACGTCAAGTCTGTCGGAAATCGAAGTTTGTTGAAAGTTTTGATGTGTTGTCTGTTTTAAAGGGGGAGACTACAGTATTTTTGGTTTACTAAATGATGTGAAGAAATATTCTGAGTGAAATTCACCCACTTGTATAATATTTTTACTCCGCATAAAAGAAAGGCAAACAATAAAAAACGAAAACCATATCACAAAGAAAACACCAAGAACCGATTTTCCAAACAACATGAAATGACCTGAAAAGAAAAAAGAAAATTCCGTGCATAGAAAACGGAGACCATGCGTCGATTCGCGGAACAAATTTCTTTTTTTTCGTCATGCAGTAAAATTTTGTTGTTAGTGCTGAGTGAAAGTTAGAGAGTTGTGTGCTCGGAGGGGCCGCCGGAGAGATGGCGGTCATTCGCGACACACGAGAGCAGCGTAGTCGAGGTCAGAGGTCATGCGAAGCCGCACGTGCCCGGAGCCAACCCATGAGGGAAGGAGGGGAAGGGAGGCGCTGAGAACACGGTGCACAGGCGGAAGTGGAAGGGTTACCTGGGGAGCACAGGTCGCGGGGGTCTCCCTCGTACCCGTCTGGGCACTGGCAGATGGTGCGGTGGTTTATGACGCGGCAGCGAGCCCCCACGCCACACGGCGGAGGCACTGTAGTGCAGGGGTCGCGGCACTCCCCCCGCACACACGCCTCCTGAAGCTGGCACTCGATGTCCGAGGAGCAGTAGCCGGGGACTGAGGGTCAGAGTCAGGTGGGTTGACGAGGGTCAGGGAGTAGTCAGACAGCAAGGCAAGGAATACTAAGGCAGTCGTGCCGCACGCAGGCAGCGCACAGCTAGAAAGTTAAGCTACAAAGCTACAGTTTAAATGTCATGAAATTATGGTTCGTGAAACAGATAGCATTAGAAGCAGGTCTTACTTGGGCTGCAAGCAACATTTGGGTTTCCTGTGAAGCCCTCGGGGCAGAGGCAGAGAGCCGTGGAGCCGGACAGCTGGCACAGCGCCCCCTGCCCGCAGTCCGTGCAAGGGTCCACGCACCGCCCGCCACGGCATACCCTCCCAGCGGGACAATCAGAGTCTCCCTCGCAGCCGCTGCGGCTGCATCCCACTCTGGGGTCTCCTGTGAACCCGGGGGGACACAGGCACACTGGTCTGTGAGTCTCCACGGTGCACACAGACCCCTGTGGGCACGGGGCGGTCTCACAAGGGTCAGTGCACACCCGCTCAATGCAGGCCTTGTCAAGAGGGCACTCGGAGTTGAAGCCGCAGAGGGGGAGGGGGGAGCAGCCCTGCAGGGGGATTCCCGTATGACCAGGGGGGCACATGCACGTGGCGGCGTGGTTGAAGACAAGGCAGGTCGCGGACTGTGGGCAGGGGTTGCTGGCGGGCCGGCATGGGCTCACGCACTGCCCGCTGTAGCACTCTTCAGTCAAGGGGCAATCGTCAGGGGTGAAGCAACCCACTGTCGGTCACCGCAACGCAGTCAAGTCAGTCAGACAGGCAAGAAGGCACACAGGTTATTATCATTATATGCATATGTTTCCCTATATAATATACTACAACAAAAGTGTACTTAGTATCTTCTTCAAACTATTTCATTAGTGTGTTTACTAAACCAACCAAATCTATTTTGGGCTGAATTCTAATACTAATACATACGTGGTTAAGATGATTTCGTTACTGATTACATTGTTATGCTAATGTGTATAATATAAGAATCAACAAAAAGTTTCCCTCGAGAATTTCTTCAGATTTCTACGTAAGTACACAATACCAAGGGTAGAATTCGTCCACAACGTGTTTTAAGTCATCCCTAAAAAAAAGTGTAGAAAACCTGGATAACAGAAAATGGTTACTTTCTGTTCCTGTCGGGGTAACTAACTTACCGGGAGTGCATCCTTTAAGCGGATCACCCTGGAAGCCGTTGCGGCACCTGCATTGGGCACTATGCTCACTGTTGATACACTCGGCATTTATTCCACAGGGGTCATCTTCGCAGGGGTACCGACAGTCGTTGTTAATACAAGCTTGTGTTGAGGGACACTCACCATCGCCACGGCATCCCGTAACTGAGGGGGGTTAGGTTAGTTTGGGATTCTCCCAATGTTATGTTACTGAGGTTGCCCCTCTCTATTAATATTGCCAAATGTATCATGATATGTGCAAATAAAATTAGACAAATTAGTGAGTATACGACAATGAATCCATCAAAGTGGAGGGTGTAAGCATGCAGGTACTCAGTATAAAGACACGAGAGTATACTGATGACAGGATTAACAAGAAGCAAGAAGCTACGTCTTACATATATTGTCAACTCCGCAGAAAACATAAGGATTTCCCGAGTAACCCGGATTGCAGGTGCACACGGGACGATGCGAGACTGTAGTGCAAGTGGCCTTGGCCGCACAGGGATTGGCAAGACCACACGGGTCCTTGCAGTCCCGATCATAGCAAACTTTGGTCTCGATACAATCGAAGTCTGAAGTGCATCCGGGAGGGACGGTTGGTGCTAAGGTCAAGAGAGGGAAGAAAGTCAGTCTACGGTCATTGGCACTTACCTCAGGGAGGCCCCGAAGCCCTGAGACGAGAACGAGTCGTCTCGGGTTTAGGGGCCGCCATATGTCATGTAGTCAGGAAATATCAATAGTAAAACCAACTAAATATACGCTCAAAACACTCGATACATCACACACGCATGCACGTACACATTCAAATACCAAAATAAACGTACACATACAGATGCCAATATAAACAAGTAATTAATAAAGAATGTGCTACATTCCCACACAAATAGCAAAGACAGGTACAACAAAGCCAGCAAACAAACAATAATGTACACAATCCACAAAAAAGCTTACGTGTATATGAAGCAAAATTGGCTTTTGATACAAAATGCATACGTTTTTTCAACTTATACAGTACACAGGCTCGAGCAAAAAGAAAACAAAACGTGCAGTGAAATACAACAGAGGAAATTTTCCTCGTTACTACGGTCATGGTTTGTGTTTGGTCGCGGGAACTGAGAAACTTTGGCATAATCTCTTTGGCAGGAAACTGGTAAGCACACACAGGCACACAAACACAGACACTGACAGACACACAGACACAGATAGACAGAAACACACACACACACACACACACACACACACACACACACACACACACACACACACACACACACACACACACACACACACACACACACACACACACACACACACACACACACACACACACACACACACACACACACACACACACACACACACACACACACACACACACACACACACACACACACACACACACACACACACACACACACACACACTAATGCAGTTAAAGGTAAGAGCTGGGAGTACCTTTGAGGCACCCTTGGCGGGGGTTACCCGTGTACCCCGCAGGACAGGAGCAAATAGGGCGGTGTAGCGTCACAGCGCATTCGGCGTTGCGTCCACACGGGGCGCCAACCACGCATGGATCAACGCAAGAGCCACCTCGACAGCTCTCCGCGAAAGAGCAGTCGGAGTCTCTCACGCACTGAGCGCTCGGTGTGACGGGAGGGGGCCGCGGGGTGAGGACGCCCACGGGAGGCCGAGGTGTGAGTGTAGGAGGGCGGGGTGTGGCAGGTGCTGGGGGCGGGGTGGAAAGGCTTAGGTCATGTTTCTTTGAAGTCTGTCAGAAGAATGTGCTTAACTGCAATGGTCATTGCTGAGTCATACTTACGTTGTGCAATATATACTGTGGTCGAAATGTATATGGAAATACAGTACATCAGAAAATGCTGATCAATATCTACCATACAGTACTAGAAGAACGTCGTTTGCAACTGAAATTATTTCTACAAAAATCGACAAGCTTGATGCAGCTGAAATAAAGAAACATTCCTAATTCTAAGTCATTCACACATACCCATGCAGAAACAAAAGTGGAAATCGGAAAACGGAAAACGGAAAAATAAAGAAATACGAAAAATATACGAGAGTTAGCGGTAGAGAAACGACCTCCATAAACAAAGTTAAAAAAATGTTTTCATATGTTCTCAACGTTCTACTTCTTTGACAAAACTCCTGGTTCGGCTCTCTCTCTTGTGTGAGAAAATGCCTAGTACCTTTCTTTGGAAGGCACTCCGTCAGGGGGTTACCACGATGACCAGGTAAACAGGTACACATGGGGATGTGATGCACGGTGTGGCACTGAGCCTTGTACCCACACTTGGATACAGAACAACCGTCCACACACACCCCGCCGTAACACAGCTGGGTGTCCTTGCAGTTATAATTGTCTCTGCAGGTGGGAGTTTCTGCAGAGACTGGAGGTAACTTAGTGACAAGGAAGGGCATGATAAGGGCAGGGATAAAGGTCACGAGTGGGATATGTAGGGACATAGAGGTATCATTTTCTGTTGACGGAACAATGGTTGTAACGGGCGATCCAGTAGTCCCTCCAACGCCCCCAAAGATGATGTCGCTGTCATCATCGCCGAGTGGGAGTCCTGCGGTTATTCCGGTTATTCCAGGTGGCAGGGTCCCGTCATCATCGAATCTGTCAGCCACTACTGTTGTTGTGGGCATTTCGGTAACAGTCGAGAAATCGAAAAATGGACCCGGGGTGATAATACCGTCAAATGTCCCTCCAGTTTCATTGGTGGGAAAGATATCTTCCTCGTCCACTGGCGTCTGCACCGGGTCCTCAGGTCTATCAGTGCCTAGACGCTCAGGTCTGTCAGTGCCAGGACCATAGGGCCTGTCTGTGCCAGGACTATAAGGTCTGTCAGAGCCAGGACCATAAGGTCTGTCAGTGCCAGGACCATAAGGTCTGTCAGTGCCAGGACCATAAGGTTTGTCAGAGCCGGGACCATAGGGTCTGTCAGTGCCAGGACCATAGGGTCTGTCAGTGCCAGGACCATAGGGTCTGTCAGTGCCAGGACCATAGGGTCTGTCAGTGCCAGGACCATAGGGTCTGTCAGTGCCAGGACCATAGGGTCTGTCAGTGCCAGGACCATAGGGTCTGTCAGTGCCAGAACCATAGGGTCTGTCAGTGCCAGGACCTAAAGGTGTGTCAGTGCCAGGACCATAGGGGCTGTCAGTGCCAGGACCATAGGGTCTCTCAGTGCCTGGACCAGAAGGTCTGTCAGTGTCAGGACCATAGGGTCTGTCAGTGCCAGGACCAGAAGGTCTGTCAGTGTCAGGACCATAGGGTCTGTCAGTGCCAGGACCATAAGGTTGGTCAGTGCCAGGACCATAGGTTGTGTCAGTGCCAGGACCATAGGGTCTGTCAGTGCCAGGACCATAGGGTCTGTCAGTGCCAGGACCAGAAGGTCTGTCAGTGTCAGGACCAGAAGGTCTGTCAGTGCCAGGACCATAGGGTCTGTCTGTGCCAGGACCATAGGGTCTGTCAGTGCCAGGACCATAGGGTCTGTCAGTGCCAGGACCAGAAGGTCTGTCAGTGCCAGGACCATAGGGACTGTCAGTGCCAGGACCAGAAGGTCTGTCAGTGTCAGGACCAGAAGGTGTGTCAGTGCCAGGACCATAGGGTCTGTCAGTGCCAGGACCATAGGGTCTGTCAGTGCCAGGACCATAGGGTCTGTCAGTGCCAGGACCAGAAGGTCTGTCAGTGTCAGGACCAGAAGGTCTGTCAGTGCCAGGACCAAAAGGTCTGTCAGTGCCAGGACCATAGGGTCTGTCAGTGCCAGGACCATAGGGTCTGTCAGTGCCAGGACCAGAAGGTCTGTCAGTGTCAGGACCAGAAGGTCTGTCAGTGCCAGGACCATAGGGTCTGTCTGTGCCAGGACCATAGGGTCTGTCAGTGCCAGGACCATAGGGTCTGTCAGTGCCAGGACCAGAAGGTCTGTCAGTGCCAGGACCATAGGGTCTGTCAGTACCAGGACCATAGGGTCTGTCAGTGCCAGGACCATAGGGTCTGTCTGTGCCAGGACCTGAAGGTCTGTCAGTGCCAGGACCAGAAGGTGTGTCAGTGCCAGGACCAGAAGGTCTGTCAGTGCCAGGACCTGAAGGTCTGTCAGTGCCAGGAACAGAAGGTCTGTCAGTGCCAGGACCAGAAGGTCTGTCAGTGCCAGGACCATAAGTTGTGTCAGTGCCAGGACCATAAGGTCTGTCAGTGTCAGGACCAGAAGGTCTGTCAGTGCCAGAACCATAGGGACTGTCTGTGCCAGGACCAGAAGGTCTGTCAGTGCCAGGACCATAGGGTCTGTCAGTGCCAGGGCCATAGGGTCTGTCAGTGCCAGGACCTGAAGGTCTGTCAGTGCCAGGACCATAGGGTCTCTCAGTGCCAGGACCATAGGGTCTGTCAGTGCCAGGACCTGAAGGTCTGTCAGTGCCAGGACCTGAAGGTCTGTCAGTGCCAGGACCAGAAGGTCTGTCAGTACCAGGACCATAGGGTCTCTCAGTGCCAGGACCAGAAGGTGTGTCAGTGCCAGGACCATAGGGTCTGTCAGTGCCAGGACCATAGGGTCTGTCAGTGCCAGGACCTAAAGGTGTGTCAGTGCCAGGGCCATAGGGTCTGTCAGTGCCAGGACCATAGGGTCTCTCAGTGCCAGGACCAGAAGGTGTGTCAGTGCCAGGACCATAGGGTCTGTCAGTGCCAGGACCATAAGGTTTGTCAGTGCCAGGACCATAGGTTGTGTCAGTGCCAGGACCAGAAGGTCTGTCAGTGTCAGGACCATAGGGGCTGTCAGTGCCTGGACCAGAAGGTCTGTCAGTGCCAGGTCCAGAAGGTCTGTCAGTGCCAGGACCATAGGGGCTGTCAGTGCCAGGACCAGAAGGTCTGTCAGTGCCAGAACCAGAAGGTCTGTCAGTGCCAGGACCATAGGGTCTGTCAGTGCCAGGACCAGAAGGTCTGTCAGTGCCAGGACCATAGGGTCTGTCAGTGCCAGGGCCATAATGTGTGTCAGTGCCAGGACCTGAAGGTCTGTCAGTGCCAGGACCATAGGGTCTGTCAGTGCCAGGACCATAAGGTCTGTCAGTGCCAGGACCAGGTCTGTCAGTTCCAGGACCATAAGGTGTGTCAGTGCCAGGACCATAGGGTCTGTCAGTGCCAGGACCATAAGGTCTGTCAGTGCCAGGACCAGAAGGTCTGTCAGTGCCAGGACCATAAGGTGTGTCAGTGCCAGGACCATAAGGTCTGTCAGTGCCAGGACCTGAAGGTCTGTCAGTGCCAGGACCATAGGGGCTGTCAGTGCCAGGACCAAAAGGTCTGTCAGTGTCAGGACCATAGGGGCTGTCAGTGCCAGGACCAAAAGGTCTGTCAGTGTCAGGACCAGTGGCGCCATCGTAAGGCTCATCGCCATAGTGCGGAGTGAACAGGCCGCTCGGCGGAGTATCTGTCACTGCCTCGCTCGGCTGCGCCACGTGGTCGGTGGTGGTGACGACTGAAGGTGTTGTGCCAGGACCAAAAGGTCTGTCAGTGCCAGGACCAGAAGGTCTGTCAGTGCCAGGACCAGAAGGTCTGTCAGTGCCAGGACCAGAAGGTCTGTCAGTGACAAGATCAGAAGGTCTGCCAGTGCCAGGACCAGCAGGTCTGTCAGTGCTTTGGCTTAAAGGTCTGTCAGTGCCAGGACCATAGGGTCTTTTAGTGCCAGGACCAGAAGGTCTGTCAGTGCCAGGACCATAAGGTCTGTCAGTGCCAGGACCTGAAGGTCTGTCAGTGCCAGGACCTGAAGGTCTGTCAGTGCCAGGACCAGAAGGTCTGTCAGTGCCAGGACCTGAAGGTCTGTCAGTGCCAGGATCTGAAGGTCTGTCAGTGCCAGGACCATAGGGTCTGTCAGTGCCAGGTCCAGAAGGTCTGTCAGTGCCAGGACCAGTAGGTCTGTCAGTGCCAGGACCTGAAGGTCTATCAGTGCCAGGACCTGAAGGTCTGTCAGTGCCAGGACCATAGGGTCTGTCAGTGCCAGGACCATAGGGTCTGTCTGTGCCAGGACCATAGGGTCTGTCTGTGCCAGGACCATAGGGTCTGTCAGTGCCAGGACCATAGGGTCTGTCAGTGCCAGGACCATAGGGTCTGTCAGTGCCAGGACCATAGGGTCTGTCAGTGCCAGGACCATAGGGTCTGTCTGTGCCAGGACCATAGGGTCTGTCAGTGCCAGGACCATAGGTTGTGTCAGTGCCAGGACCATAGGGTCTGTCAGTGCCAGGACCATAGGGTCTCTCAGTGCCAGGACCATAGGGTCTGTCAGTGTCAGGACCATAGGGTTTGTCAGTGCCAGGACCATAGGGTCTGTCAGTGCCAGGACCATAGGGTCTGTCAGTGCCAGGACCATAGGGTCTGTCAGTGCCAGGACCATAGGGTCTGTCAGTGCCAGGACCATAAGGTCTGTCAGTACCAGGACCAGAAGGTCTGTCAGTGCCAGGACCAGAAGGTCTGTCAGTGCCAGTACCATAAGGTGTGTCAGTGCTAGGACCATAGGGTCTGTCAGTGCCAGGACCATAGGGTCTGTCAGTGCCAGGACCATAGGGTTTGTCAGTGCCAGGACCAGAAGGTCTGTCAGTGCCAGGACCAGAAGATGTGTCAATGCCAGGACCATAGGGTCTGTCAGTGTCAGGACCAAAGGGTCTGTCAGTGCCAGGACCATAGGGTCTGTCAGTGCCAGGACCAGAAGGTCTATCAGTGCCAGGACCATAAGGTGTGTCAGTGCCAGGACCATAGGGTCTGTCAGTGCCAGGACCTGAAGGTCTGTCAGTGCCAGGACCATAAGGTCTGTCAGTGCCAGGACCATAGGGTCTGTCAGTGCCAGGACCATAAGGTCTGTCAGTGCCAGGACCATAGGGTCTGTCAGTGCCAGGACCTGAAGGTCTGTCAGTGCCAGGACCATAGGGTCTGTCAGTGCCAGGACCATAGGGTCTGTCAGTGCCAGGACCATAGGGTCTGTCAGTGCCAGGACCTGAAGGTCTGTCAGTGCCAGGACCTGAAGGTCTGTCAGTGCCAGGACCATAGGGTCTGTCAGTGCCAGGACCTGAAGGTCTGTCAGTGCCAGGACCTGAAGGTCTGTCAGTGCCAGGACCTGAAGGTCTGTCAGTGCCAGGACCATAGGGTCTGTCAGTGCCAGGACCATAAGGTGTGTCAGTGCCAGGACCATAAGGTCTGTCAGTGCCAGGACCATAGGGTCTGTCAGTGCCAGGACCTGAAGGTCTGTCAGTGCCAGGACCATAGGGTCTGTCAGTGCCAGGACCATAAGGTCTGTCAGTGCCAGGACCATAAGGTCTGTCTGTGCCAGGACCATAAGGTCTGTCAGTGCCAGGACCATAGGGTCTGTCAGTGCCAGGACCTGAAGGTCTGTCAGTGTCAAGACCTGAAGGTCTGTCAGTGCCAGGACCTGAAGGTCTGTCAGTGCCAGGACCATAGGGTCTGTCAGTGCCAGGACCATAGGGTCTGTCAGTGCCAGGACCATAGGGTCTGTCAGTGCCAGGACCAGAAGGTCTGTCAGTGCCAGGACCATAAGGTGTGTCAGTGCCAGGACCATAGGTTGTGTCAGTGCCAGGACCATAGGGTCTGTCAGTGCCAGGACCATAAGGTCTGTCAGTGCCAGGACCATAGGGTCTGTCAGTGCCAGGACCAGAAGGTCTGTCAGTGCCAGGACCATAGGGTCTGTCAGTGCCAGGACCATAGGGTCTGTCAGTGCCAGGACCAGAAGGTCTGTCAGTGCCAGGACCAGAAGGTCTGTCAGTGCCAGGACCATAGGTTGTGTCAGTGCCAGGACCATAAGGTCTGTCAGTGCCAGGACCATAAGGTCTGTCAGTGCCAGGACCAGAAGGTCTGTCAGTGCCAGGACCAGAAGGTCTGTCAGTGCCAGGACCATAGGGTCTGTCAGTGCCAGGACCATAAGGTCTGTCAGTGCCAGGACCATAAGGTCTGTCAGTGCCAGGACCATAAGGTCTGTCAGTGCCAGGACCATAAGGTCTGTCAGTGCCAGGACCATAAGGTCTGTCAGTGCCAGGACCATAAGGTCTGTCAGTGCCAGGACCATAAGGTCTGTCAGTGCCAGGACCATAGGTCTGTCAGTGCCAGGACCAGAAGGTCTGTCAGTGCCAGGACCATAGGGTCTGTCAGTGCCAGGACCATAAGGTCTGTCAGTGCCAGGACCAGAAGGTCTGTCAGTGCCAGGACCAGAAGGGTCTGTCAGTGCCAGGACCATAAGGTCTGTCAGTGCCAGGACCATAAGGTCTGTCAGTGCCAGGACCTAAAGGTCTGTCAGTGACAGGACCAGTAGGTCTGTCAATGCCAGGACCATAAGGTCTGTCAGTGCCAGGACCATAAGGTCTGTCAGTGCCAGGACCATAAGGTCTGTCAGTGCCAGGACCATAAGGTCTGTCAGTGCCAGGACCATAAGGTCTGTCAGTGCCAGGACCATAGGGTCTGTCAGTGCCAGGACCATAAGGTCTGTCAGTGCCAGGACCAGAAGGTCTGTCAGTGCCAGGACCATAGGGTCTGTCAGTGCCAGGACCATAGGGTCTGTCAGTGCCAGGACCATAGGGTCTGTCAGTGCCAGGACCATAAGGTCTGTCAGTGCCAGGACCAGAAGGTCTGTCAGTGCCAGGACCATAAGGGTCTGTCAGTGCCAGGACCATAAGGGTCTGTCAGTGCCAGGACCAGAAGGTCTGTCAGTGCCAGGACCATAAGGGTCTGTCAGTGCCAGGACCAGAAGGTCTGTCAGTGCCAGGACCATAAGGTCTGTCAGTGCCAGGACCATAGGGTCTGTCAGTGCCAGGACCATGAAGGTCTGTCAGTGCCAGGACCATAAGGTCTGTCAGTGCCAGGACCATAAGGTCTGTCAGTGCCAGGACCATAGGTCTGTCAGTGCCAGGACCATAAGGGTCTGTCAGTGCCAGGACCATAAGGTCTGTCAGTGCCAGGACCATAAGGTCTGTCAGTGCCAGGACCAGAAGGTCTGTCAGTGCCAGGACCATAAGGGTCTGTCAGTGCCAGGACCATAAGGTCTGTCAGTGCCAGGACCATAAGGTCTGTCAGTGCCAGGACCAGAAGGTCTGTCAGTGCCAGGACCATAAGGTCTGTCAGTGCCAGGACCATAGGGTCTGTCAGTGCCAGGACCATAAGGGTCTGTCAGTGCCAGGACCATAAGGTCTGTCAGTGCCAGGACCATAAGGTCTGTCAGTGCCAGGACCATAGGGTCTGTCAGTGCCAGGACCATAGGGTCTGTCAGTGCCAGGACCATAAGGGTCTGTCAGTGCCAGGACCATAGGGTCTGTCAGTGCCAGGACCATAGGGTCTGTCAGTGCCAGGACCATAGGGTCTGTCAGTGCCAGGACCATAAGGTCTGTCAGTGCCAGGACCATAGGGTCTGTCAGTGCCAGGACCATAAGGTCTGTCAGTGCCAGGACCATAGGGTCTGTCAGTGCCAGGACCATAGGGTCTGTCAGTGCCAGGACCATAAGGGTCTGTCAGTGCCAGGACCATAGGGTCTGTCAGTGCCAGGACCATAGGGTCTGTCAGTGCCAGGACCATAAGGGTCTGTCAGTGCCAGGACCAGAAGGTCTGTCAGTGCCAGGACCATAGGGTCTGTCAGTGCCAGGACCATAAGGTCTGTCAGTGCCAGGACCATAAGGTCTGTCAGTGCCAGGACCATAGGGTCTGTCAGTGCCAGGACCATAGGGTCTGTCAGTGCCAGGACCATAGGGTCTGTCAGTGCCAGGACCATAAGGTCTGTCAGTGCCAGGACCAGAAGGTCTGTCAGTGCCAGGACCAGAAGGTCTGTCAGTGCCAGGACCATAAGGTCTGTCAGTGCCAGGACCATAAGGTCTGTCAGTGCCAGGACCAGAAGGTCTGTCAGTGCCAGGACCAGAAGGTCTGTCAGTGCCAGGGCCATAGGGTCTGTCAGTGCCAGGACCATAGGGTCTGTCAGTGCCAGGACCATAAGGTGTGTCAGTGCCAGGACCATAAGGTCTGTCAGTGCCAGGACCATAAGTTGTGTCAGTGCCAGGACCATAAGTTGTGTCAGTGCCAGGACTATAAGTTGTGTCAGTGCCAGGACCAGAAGGTCTGTCAGTGCCAGGACCAGAAGGTCTGTCAGTGCCAGGACCATAAGGTCTGTCAGTGCCAGGACCATAGGGTCTGTCAGTTCCAGGACCATAGGGTCTGTCAGTGCCAGGACCATAGGGTCTGTCAGTGCCAGGACCATAGGGTCTGTCAGTGACAGGACCAGAAGGTCTGTCAGTGCCAGGACCATAGGGTCTGTCAGTGCCAGGACCATAGGGTCTGTCAGTGCCAGTGCCATAAGGTCTGTCAGTGCCAGGACCAGAAGGTCTGTCAGTGCCAGGACCATAGGGTCTGTCAGTGCCAGGACCATAGGGTATGTCAGTGCCAGGACCAGAAGGTCTGTCAGTGCCAGGACCATAAGGTCTGTCAGTGTCAGGACCATAGGGTCTGTCAGTGCCAGGACCATAGGGTATGTCAGTGCCAGGACCAGAAGGTCTGTCAGTGCCAGGACCATAAGGTCTGTCAGTGTCAGGACCATAGGGTCTGTCAGTGCCAGGACCATAGGGTCTGTCAGTGCCAGGACCATAGGGTCTGTCAGTGCCAGGACCATAGGTTGTCAGTGCCAGGACCATAGGGTCTGTCAGTGCCAGGACCATAGGGGCTGTCAGTGTCAGGACCATAGGGTCTGTCAGTGCCAGGACCAGAAGGTCTGTCAGTGCCAGGACCATAGGGTCTGTCAGTGCCAGGACCATAGGGTCTGTCAGTGCCAGGACCATAGGTTGTGTCAGTGCCAGGACCATAGGTTGTGTCAGTGCCAGGACCATAGGGTCTGTCAGTGCCAGGACCATAGGGTCTGTCAGTGCCAGGACCATAAGGTGTGTCAGTGCCAGGACCATAGGGTCTGCCAGTGCCAGGACCTGAAGGTCTGTCAGTGCCAGGAACTGAAGGTCTGTCAGTGCCAGGACCAGAAGGGGCTGTCAGTGTTAGGACCATAGGGGCTGTCAGTGCCAGGACCATAGGGTCTGTCAGTGCCAGGACCATAGGGGCTGTCAGTGCCAGGACCATAAGGTGTGTCAGTGCCAGGACCATAGGGTCTGCCAGTGCCAGGACCTGAAGGTCTGTCAGTGCCAGAACCAGAAGGTCTGTCAGTGCCAGGACTATAGGGGCTGTCAGTGCCAGGACCATAGGGTCTGTCAGTGCCAGGACCATAGGGGCTGTCAGTGCCAGGACCAAAAGGTCTGTCAGTGTCAGGACCAGGTCTGTCAGTGCCAGGACCAAAAGGTCTGTCAGTGCCAGGACCAGTGGCGCCATCGTAAGGCTCATCGCCATAGTGCGGAGTGAACAGGCCGCTCGGCGGAGTATCTGTCACTGCCTCGCTCGGCTGCGCCACGTGGTCGGTGGTGGTGACGACGGAGGGCGTGGTGGTTTCGGGGGCGGCAGTGAGCGGCTCCATGGCCTCCAGGGCTTCCGTCTCGACCTCGTTCCCTACCGGCGGGAGGGTCGGCCGGGAAACCCCAGGCGGCATGGTGGCGGAGATAGAGACACTCGTGGACACTGACTCTACCTCTGGTCCGACGACTGGCATGGTGGGTCGTGTCTGATCCGCTGGGGTAGGAAGGGTCGTCCCTGTCTCCCCCGAGGCAACGGTGGATTGATCGCTTTCCGTGACTCCATCAAGAGGGGTGGAGGGGAGGGAGGATACAGGGGAGGGAGAAGGACGTACAGAGGGTACACTAGGAACACCCGGCTGTTCTGTGGGCGGGGTGGCAATTGTGGAGGTGTCTTCAGTGAGTGTGGTGGCGGGTGTAGCTGTGGTGGTGGTAGGAGTGGTGAACGAACTGGTGGTTAGAGCTGGAAGAAAAATACAACGACAACCGTGTCAACATGCGAACGCCGAGGTCAGACTGTTAGGTGATGGCGAAGGGTAAAAATTGTCTCTTCGTTTTCTCTCTCTTTCTCATTAAAACCTATTCCAACATCCACTGTACACAGGGCCATCATAAACATGGCCCTAAACCATGGGACCTGCATATTAGAGTGCATTAAGGAACATGCGTCGTGAAGTCAGTAAAAGGGGAAACGCTACGTTATGTTCATTAAAAACCAAACTATTAACAAACGTGTTATGGTCGTTTGCGTCACTACGGCGGGGGGAGGGGGGTAAGTCGGGGGAATACATATGATCATTAATCTACAATAATTTCTAGATTATGAAAACTGCCAACGAAACACAGACGCGCCATTTTATATTTCGTCTTTCACACATCTAGATATCAGTAATACTTTGTTATCAGTTATTAAGTAGATAATCGGCTAGTGACTATCATTAAAGGTGCTATTGTTTTCATTCTAAAGTTAATATATACAGTATTAATGTGAGCAGTTAGACATGTGGTTTTACAATGTTAAATTAACTATTGTAAGCTGATTTATTTCTATACAGTATTTCTACAAAAAATCATCCTAACACCAGCATCTAGCATGTTTTCATCTTTAAAAATCTGAGTAATCTAAATATTATCGTTCCTACATTTCCTACGTCTCAGGAGCTGGGGAAGAGGTGAGAACTGCCACAAAGTCATGTCTTATTGATCAAAAATTTTATCTAATTTTTCGGGGATATCTTTGGTCGTACATACACACTCTTGTCAAATGTCCACTCCTACTGGTCAAATTTTGTTGTTGTTTTTATACATATATATATATATATATATACATATTATATCTGCTGAATTATCACTAGTTTTTAAGAGACATAGAGTATCTTTACTCAGGTGAGCTACAGGTTTAATATATGGATTCTAAAATCAAAATCATGGATATTTGACAATGCCATTACTGTTAAGCTGATGAAACTGAAGCTAAAAAGCAACTTGGCAAAACAATCTATATATATCACATTGCAATTATAGCATAATATTGATCAGCTCTATATTAATATAATGTGTTATGAATCCTCTACGGTACATGTACAATAAAATATACGTCTAGCGTCATGCATTTACAGTACTGTTACTTAATTAATCAATGTTACTTTTCCGTAATACATCACCAGGTTCATGATATAAGATGTTCAGTGTTAATATGTAATTACTGTTGTGTTAGTGTGTAACTGGATGATACAAATCGAACATGAGTAATGGTTTAAAGGGAGGTGAAATTAGTAGGTAGGAATTTATAGAAAACGGGAGGAGGAAATTACAAAGCAGACTGGATCAAAGGGGGCGGGAAGGGAGAACTTAAGAATTTAAAAAAGGTATCTAAAACTGGGGAGGGGGAGGAAAACACTAAAAATCTATAACAAAAAAATAAAAAGTAAAATTCAAGTCAAAAATGGCCCACAGCTCAAAGGAAAAGGGAGGGGGAGACTAAATCATCCAAAGCGTAAAAAGGGAGGGAGGTAGGGAGGGAAATGAGACACAGACTTAAAAAAAGGGATAAAGCAGGGAAGGTTAGTCACAACAAAACAAAAATACATCTTGAAAAATACTGGGCCGCTTACATGCTGCACAAAGTGTAAAAGCATTCATCATTCTCAAGCAATACTCATACATGCTAAAAATATTCGATTATGGCCTCACTCCGCACGAAATTGGCGGAGTGACGAAGCGTTTATGTCGGGAAATTTTCGCGGGCGTTCGAAATGTAAAAAAATACATTACAAGTATGCTGCGCATTTTTAAAAAGGGGGAAAAACAGTCAACAGCCAGTGCTGTACAGAAGAACTGTACTTAAAAGCTACTTACAAACCAGTGTTGCTCACTGAACAACAACGAACAACAATTAAATTCAGTCAAGAAAAATGTCAATGCAAAAAAAGGCTTTGTTACAGAAAGCTTTAATTTAAGGTTTAATGGCTAATACAAGCAGTGGAAATACAGATAAAGCAAGCAACGGCAAGACAGGCATAAAGAAGCATAGAAGCACAAACATCAGATACTTATAACTACACATTCACGCATGCGTCATCCGTGTGGGTGAGTATACCAGCACAGCAAACAACTATGAGGTATACAGCTAGAGCATCCATCCATATCTTGGTCCTTCTGACGTGAATGAATACACTGAGATCATGAAAAAGGCAAAGATATGGTATGGATGCTCCCACAGATGATTACTAACATCGGTTTTGGTTATGCAACACAAGCAACGGCATTCGCAAACACTTTTTGAAGACAGGCAGTATGCAAGCTGCGTTTTGACAGCACAAACCCAAGAAGCTTCATCTACCGGCTGCCGACTTGGTGCCAGCAAAGTCCGTGACGTCACGATTTTTACAATCTCTTTCTCTCACTCTCTCTCTCACCCACTCTCTCTTCTCTTTCCTCTATTTCTCTCTACCTCTCTCTTCTCTCTCTCTCTCTCTCTCTCTCTCTCTCTCTCTCTCTCTCTCTCTCTCTCTCTCTCTCTCTCTCTCTCTCTCTCTCTCTCTCTCTCTCTGGTTCACACACACACACACACACACACACACACACACACACACACACACACACACACACACACACACACACACACACACACACACACACACACACACAACGTGACGTCACGCGAGCCAGGTGTGTGATACTCACGCAGGGCAGCTGTTGGTTGCAAGCGCACGCACGCACGCACATGCTGCAGCCTCGAAGCGTTGCATTCATCATCATGCGGGGTTAGCTCCAAGCCGATTGGTGATGCTGGCTTGGTTTATTTTTTTCTAATCATTCGAGGATTAGGGTTAATGCAGAGAGGTTGCTGCAGTCCAAACCTCTCTCTCTCTATTACAACGGCCTCTTCCTATCCTACAGGTTATCCTAAGGTTACTCCTTCAGGAAGGGGATGGTTATGGTTTCCGAGGATTGGGATGAGGGGGGGGGAGGGGAGGAGGGGTCAGTTAGTTAGGTTGGTTGACTATCACATTCGCTAAGGTCTGACACGATGCGGTTAGTTATTCTCTGCAATTAAAAGCTACGCGGGAACCAGCAGGCCGAGCCACACACCATCCGATGCCCAAATACAGCGAGCAGGAGTAGTTGCAGTTAAAGGATTCGTTCACAGGATTTTAAACATATGGCTGATACATGAGCCCTAACGATGACGTCAGCAACCACAACACCCTCATTCGGCGCAGAGAAAGAGCCAGACGTCGGGAGGAACCTCGCCTGGAATTCCTGGCGTCTAAGAGCGTCCCTCTTGCCTCCCGGCGGCTCTTACTCACAGCAGATCAGGGTGAGATGGTTGACTGATTGAAAATCGACGCCAGGTCATCCTGGGTCAAACGCAAGACGAGGTCGCGACTTACCTGGTTTGCAGATGAGCTCCTCCTCGTCGCACTCCTCGTCGTTCTGGCAAGGGGGGTCGCAACTCACTACTTCCGAGAGTTCTACGTGAAGGAAAACGGGAAGAAACGAACAAAAAACGGTTAGTTAGCGATAGAAAACGAAAGCAACGAAAATGAGAAGTCATATAACAAAAAAATATGATGGGATTATTATATCAAGCAGAAAAAAATCTAACTCATAAAGGGAGAGAAAAAAACACCAAATCAACATGGGGTTATGATTGTTAAAATTCTCACAACCTCATAAACACGAGGTTATTAACTTACAAAGTTGTGGGAGAAGCGGCGGCACCAGCAACACCGGGTGATGACGAAGGAGAAGAAAGTTGTAAGAAAAAAGAAAACAATGTTATATCAGAAAAAGACAGCCATTTGCAAGGTCTTTCTTTGAGTGAAAGTGCGTTAGATTATGAAAAATATTTACAAATGATTAATGCATTACTGAAATCTATTACGGAGACTGTTATGATCTGAATGTTAGTCCATCAATGACTGCATAAAATAAGGGTTATGATACTGATAACTGAGATTTAAGGAAATTGAGTTGTTGATTATAAATCCATTTACCAAAATTACATAACTGAAAGGGCGAAAACAATGTTACTATGGAAATAAAGATCCAAATACCATTAAGAAATATTAACAATCACACATCTACAAATAACTGAAAAGATAAAGAGTTAGAAAAAAAATGATAAGAAGGAAAACCAAAACTTGACTTTAAAAATTAGAAAGAAAATTATTAATGATCGATACTTCCGAAAAGTCTAACGCACAGAGATCATCCACATACACGGAAACATACACACACGGAAGAAATAAAACAAACAGAGGGACAAGAGACGGACCGACTAACTCCAGTCTTTTGGACAGACATGCAACTAAGAAGACAGACAGACAGAGGATGTAAATGGTACTTACGTGGCTTGCAGGTGCAACCGTCACAGGATAAGTGCGCGGGGCAGTCATTGTTAGACTGGCATGTACATTCTGTAATGGAAAATGGTTAATTCCGTCATGCGCGTATATTTACGTATTTATTAATTTATTTACTTATGTCTTTTCGTTATTTTTTCTATCTATTATTTCATAAATTATTATTCTATTATATTTTTGGGCTTAAGTGCCGAGGCAACTAAATTTGAATGAGTCAATATTTCAAATCGTCTTTTTAAAAATATCTAAAAAAAAAAAAAAAAAAAAAAAAACGAAAAGTGAAAATACATCACCTGCTATCAATCCTGAACAACAATAGTAACTCTAAAAGGAGGAAGTGCAGAGATACAAAACAATAAAAGGGGAGGAAAGTCAGTCAGAGTGACATCAAGGAGCTTAAGTCAAGTCAGTTAATAAGCTGTCAAAGTATTAAGCTTTACTTCTGCGGACGGCTGGGTACAAGGGTGCGTGGAGATCGTCAGTTTCTACAGCGCTACTAATAAAGTACTGGCGGCTGCTTGGGGAATGGGGGTGTAAGTTGTGAGGTAAAGCTGACTAGAGTCCTATGTAAATTGCATTCTGCTCTGTATTCACAAGTGTGTGTGACTGTTCCGGAATGGGAGTGTAGATTGTGAGAATAAGCTGACTTTCATTGCAAATACTAATCATTTGTGTATTTCCCCAGTGACTTCAACACTTTTATTTCCAACTATAATGAAAATAAAGATCAGCTCCAAAATCTATCAGGTGCAACTGCTTTTTCAATTCCGTTGTGTGTTGTGATGGTGTAAGCGCCGGTGGCACTGTTACCTGTGGGCGTTTTGGGCGTTGTGGTGGGCGTGCACCGTACTTTGGGGTCGCCCGTGTAGCCCGGGGGGCACGAGCAGCGCGGGCGGTGCAGCAGTGGGCGGCAGTCGGCGCCCAGACCGCACGCCTCCGTCATGATGCAAGGGTTCATACAGTGCCCCGAGAAGCAAGCCTCGTTCCACGGGCAGTCCGCGTCTCGTCGGCACTCGAAGTCTGTTCGGCACAAGCGTCAAGCCAGCTCAAGTCAGGGGTCCTCTGTCCTTCCTTCAAGTCTCTCTTACGACAGTCTCTCACGACAGAATTAAAACTGTCATGGATTCTAACTGACTGCTAATTTACATATCTTCATCAGAATCATGAATCCTAACTATCATTATCTGTAGTTGCAGAGAGAGGACTTGAAAGTTTGAAACGTCAGGCTGTTAAGCAACTTCCGTTCTTGCGAAAGGACAGAGGTTTGCGTCCTACTGTGTTAATTCTATGTTGCATATGCGTGTCGTCTAGAGCCAGCCGCGAATGATAACGAATCACAGAGTTATGATATCGAGCCAACAAATACCCAAAGAATCATGGAATCCAGCTAACAAATGCTCAAGAATTTAGGGAATTCTGACCCTTCAAAAATGCTAAAAGTGCCCACCAACTGCTCGAGATCGAAGGCTCCCTCTTCCCTGTGATTCGCAATTCGCAGTAGCTTTAAGTATCAGTCTCAGTACAATCACATATTGTAAAAAAAAAACTATCTCTAAAAGCTTAAGGCGTCATTGAAAAGAATGAACACAAAGTCATCGTCACATATTAATGTCATGGTAATGTGCTTCAAGAGCGACTTACCATCAAGAGGAAATGCAGGCAAGCAAAAGAGAAAATAATGGCTTAAGAGGCCTGCTAGAGAGAGCCGACATGCACACCACAGAAACAGACAGCGGAGACGAGAGCAGAAGCAAGATTATGATGCTGGGAGAGTGAGCATCGTCCAAGATCTTACCGGGAGATTAAAGGATCTTTAGCTGAGAGGAGAGAAGTTGAGATTAGAAGTTGAGGTTAGAGATTATGGTTAAGAGTAGATAAGGCGACTGGGATATTTTTTCGCTGGTTAATTAGTTAGTGTATATATATATATATATATATATATATATATATATATATATATATATATATATATATATATATATATATATATATATATATATATATATATATATATATATATATATATATATATATTATATATATATATATATATATATATATATATATATATATATATATATATATATATATATATATACATATATATACATTAATCACGGATATCCAGTTACTTTAGATATAAAAGAGATTTCACTGCACCATCTTCAAGCTATGGCTTTGATGCGCAGCGACAAGAAACAATTAATTGAGCAACATCGTCTACGGTAAAGGTGGAATTAGGGATGAGTTAATAATAATTACGGGTTATATAAAACAAAATTGTAGCCTCTATAATCGCGCACGGATTATATACGGAGTTAATACAAGTCGCACGGGGATTTCACGTCGGGCTGAGGGGACGCTGTCAGTTCCGTCAGTCTTACCGGGGACGTGGGGAGGGATGGTGGGGGGGGGATGGTGGGGTGGGGGGGTTATAACAGGAGAGGGGGTACGGGGAGAGGAATATAATAGGAGGGAGGGGATAAGAAGAGGGTATCTGTATGGGGGTTGGAGGTGGGGTTTGGATGCTTATCAGGGGAGGGGGGCAGGGAGAGGGAGATGGGAGGTGAGGGCGCGCACCTGAGATGCAGAAGGGGATGTGATCTCGAACTTCGCATCTCTCGCTGAACACGCAGGGGTCGTTGACTGCACACGGGGAGACGCACTTTTGGTTCACACACGCTTTGTCGCTGGGGCAGTCCGTGTTGCTGCGGCAGCCGACTGTGGGCGGGGTCAGGGTCGGGGTGGAAGGAAAGAGGGAATGGTGGAAGAGGAGGTAAGGGGGGGGGGGGGGGGTTGGAAGAGATATATATCCTTCAATATTTTTTCTTCTTCTGTTAATTATTTTCATTATCTAGGCTTTTCGCAAGGGGGGGGGTGGATGGCCTATGATCAGGCGTGGGTGCACTAGCGGGGTAAAAACCAGCGCTTTTACAAAAAGGGAAGGGAAAATATAATCTTGTTTTTTCTCCTTTGAAACACAAGATTTTTGAAATGAAGAAATGAAAAATAAAACATGACAGAGAGGAGAATTAGGAAAATACCATTACCCATGAAACAGTATAAACGAAAAGACAAACAAACAATAACATAAAACCACCATAATAGGCATAAAGAAGTACCACAAACGTATTCCCATTCGAAAAAAAACATATATTTACACAAATAAGATTTGAAGTAAAGGCATAAAGAAAAATAAAAGGAAGGTAAAATAAGAAAGATAGAAAAAAAAATCACCTCTTTGATAAGTTGAAGGGGAAACATGTGAAGATTTTCAAACCAACATGAGGAATTATGACCTTTGAAGTCGGTAAATAGCGTAACATTATTCACATACTCCCTCCTTCGTGTACCCTCCCTCCCTCCGCTTCCCACCCTCTTTCCCTCCCCCTCTTTCCTATATTTACTCAATCCTTCCCATCTACCTGTCCCCTTCCCACCTGCCCTTCCTTCCCTCCCCTCCAACTCTCACTTTCTCCCATTCTCTTATCTTTCCCTCCCTTTCCTCCCCTCCCTTCCCCCTCTCTGTACCCGTTCCCCTCCCTTTCCTCCCTTCCCTATACCCTCCCTTTCCCTCCCTTTGACTTCATCGCCGCCTACCGCACTCACCTGCAACACACGTAGCCCTCTGGTTCTGCACTTTGCAATCTTCCTTGGCATTGCACGGGTTGCGAGCCACACAGGGGTTGAGGCACTTCTCGTTGATACATGCCTGGTTGGTCGGGCACTCGGAGTCATCTCTGCAGCCGATTGCTACTCGTTGCAAGAAGGAAGAAGGAAAAGGGAGCATGTTTTAAATCTGGTCGGTGGCGTGCGAGGTGAGGAGGGGGGACTTCGATAAAAGCAAGATGAGATTTTATTTCCTTTCTTATCATTTTAATATTATTATGATTATTACTATTGTTATAATTTGTCTCTTTCTTCCTTTCTTTATCTATTTATCTTGAAATAATAGGTGATTATACGAAGATAAAGATAGGAGAGGAAATATAAGATCCGTGCCATTCTCGAATCAAATTCGGGTTTCAACCATCTTGCTTCTATATCTGAGTTGCAGTCTATATCAAACAGAAAAATAACTAAAATGAAATATATATATATCCATATATACACATACATCTTTGAAAGAGAAAAAAAATATTCATAAAAAACATGAAAGGGGGGACAATTTTGTTTTCCAGCCGCCGATTATATTCACGCTCCTTTTCAATGGGAACGACTGAAAAAATCCTGAATTCTGATGGGAATGAACTTTCTGAGATCAATCGATTAAATGCACACAAAAAATATGAGTTAATAATTGGTAAGTAGATATTCCGTCAATTAATGCTTTTTTGTAAATTAATCATTCAGTCTATAAGTAAATTGTTAATGAGATATCAGTAATTTTTCGTCAGGGATGTGAATATATAATCTATGTTATTTGTTGTTTGATGCATGTTGCAAATTAATAAATGTTATGTATTTCTTTCCTGAAATGGAACGGGTATATTTCTCTTTATGTATATTTCAGTTTGCCCTGTAAGAGACACAAATGGTTAATAACAAAACAAAACAAAAACAAAATGCACAAGACACAAACAAAATGCACAAACACAATGCAGTTAATGCAAGCACACAATGCAACATCCACAACTGCATGCTGGGCGATCACTAAAACGAACAAACAAACGCATGCAAAAGAAAAAACAAACAAACTCGCATGTGTTAATGGGAATTTCACAAGATTTTTTTTTTTTTTTGTAGTTGTTGTTATTAAGTGGTACACATTAAAGCACACAGGACGCACAATACAGTGGTTAAGAACATATAATAATATAAAAAAAAATCAGTTCAGGCGTGTTTCATACGTGTTAGAGCACAACCAAGGCATTACTTCTCAGATTTCCGAGACAAGCCTAAGGACTTTTCCTTGCGTGGGTGAAGCACTTTCCATCCTTCACTTGGGTTAATAAAGCATTTCAGACAAAAAGCGCAGCATATTCATGAGAAACAAAAAATAATGGCTAATATTAGAGAGCAAGGACAGATTACATTAAGGTTAGGACAACAGTACACCAAGCACTTTCGAATTGAAGAGTGGGAAGCACCGTTCTTATTTTTAGTGCAGTTTCCCCTTTCGTCCGAGGCCAAAGAAAACGAGTTAGAAGAAAATGGGTAGAAGAAAACGTCCGTGGAAGCAGGACAGACTCAGAAGGCCGATAGAACCACACAAGTAATACCACACGCGCACACAACACCATATAATACAGGGTAAAGTGTTCATTTATAAAAGGGATTGTATAGGAATCTTTATAAGTGTTATTTTGGGAGGATACGGAGGGGAGGGGAGGGGAGGGGAGCGTAGGGAGAGGGGGTGAACAAGCGAAAAATTTTGTTCAATAAATGCACCGACAATGGCGGACCAACAGTTATTTCGTGGAACTTGATTTTTTTTTTTAAGGGGAAACAAAAAATATGTGAGGAATTCAGAACAGAATCCTCGGAAATAAACAGATCATCTATGGTTCACAGTGACTCCGCCATTGTATATATGACCAATCGAACAATGTGTTCAAGGGATTACAAATAACTACAGATTTCCAAAAAGCTTCTGAAGGGAGGAAGAACGGACAGCTTTCTAAACCAGCATCTTGAGCCTATAAATATTGGGGGTTAACACCATGATAAATAAAAAAAGGAAGATGTTATTGCCAGAATGGCTTTTATTAGTTTTCATTTTGTCCCGCCATTTCTTTTCCGTTTTAGTAAGACTCGAGATGCTGGTCGAGAATTCGTCACCGGGAGAAAACGATTCCCGCCGACCCGGAAGCGGGCGTAAGCTAAAATAAATAACAAAAACAGCAACAACAACACAAAAGGGGTTGTCTGCTTGTTTTCTTCTCATATATTGGGAGAGAAAATGATTATTACCTTCGGGGCATCGGGAGCCTAGCGCTGGCCCCGTGGGACACTGACATGTTAGTCTGTTACTGATCACCTGACACGTGAACCCACTACCACATGGACTAGACATCTTGCACGGGTCTGTGCACTTATTCTGGAGGCACGCCAGGTTCCTTGGGCACTCGACGCTGCTGGTGCACGTCTTGGGCCCGGGCGCCAGCGTCTTGGGCACCGAGGAACTCGGGGTGGAGGTGGGGGCGGGTTCCAGGGGACTGGGAGTGGCGGGTGTTTTGGGGGTGAAGCGGAAGGGGGGGCTGGTGTGCGGGGTGTCTGTTTGTGTGGGGGGGCGGGGGCTCGTCTTGGGGAACAAGGGTCTTTTGATGGTTATTCTAGGCCGCTTTGTGGTCGGTGTAATGGGGCGAGACCTAGTTGTTGTGGAAGGCCGGTGTATAGTGTTGTCCTCTGTGACCGGAGGAGTTCTTGGCGTTGTTACACGCGTCGGTGTGGGCGTGGTGTGTGTCGGCGTCTCCTCGGGAACTGCTGGCGTGAAAGGGAGCTCCTTTGGAGGCGATGTGAAGAAGGGGGGAGGTCGCCTGGTCGTGACTTCGATACCAAAGGGAGGGCGAGGTCGGGACGTGTTGATTTTGGATGGCCGTAGAGTGGGACCTTTAACCGGCCTCCGTGTGGTTTTGTGAGAGAAAGGGACGAGGGGTGTGACAGAGGGTTCCCGAGGCGTGGCTGGTGTGACAGAAGGCGTAACGCCGGGAGAGACAGATGAAAAGGTTGTGGAAAATCCGAAAGGTGTTTGTGGACGATCGGTCGCATCGGGTTTGTCTGTGAAGAAGCCGACTGTGTGAGTGGGTTCTTTGGGACTAAGGGTTTTGCCGATGTCAGCAGTGGGTGTGGTAGTGGGTTCTGTGGTCTTTGAAGTGTCGTGACAATTAATCTTTACTTCGTTTTGAGTGCCAATACTGATGGAACAGTCACGTGTCCCACAGGCGACCAGGCAGGGGTTTGTGCATTGTCCTTGGAGGCATATATGTTTTGTGGTGCCGCAGTCAGCGTCACTGCGGCACGACGTCCGGGTGGTGGTGGATGGGGTGGAGGGGGAGGTTGTATCGGTGTCTGTTGCAAAATATGGAAATGAAATAAGAGAGTGGTAATAAAAAAAACTGAAGAGCCATTAATGTTTCATGATGACATGTTCTGGCACAGTATAAAATGAAGAGCTAAGGTCCCTTGTCAGTCCTTGTCTAAGAGATTCTCTGTGGATTTTTACTTACTGAGAGTTGAGGGTCTTTGTTGTTTCGTATTATGTATCTATTCTGAATGTTCATATTGGAGATAAAAGACTGTAAATCGAACTTGCAGTGTTAATTAGATAAGTTGACTTGCAAGTGAACATTCTCTTGATTAATTCAAACAATTGGAAATATTAGCAAACAAGACTGGTACGTGAGTATATTCATTAGTCTACTCTGTCAGACATTAGTCGACGTGGCTGACTAACACAAGAACTACGTGCCACTATCTCTCCATCACCGTTCAGTCGGGTTAATACAATATTAGCATCATGGCCGCGAACACTGGGCGAAGTGTTTACCTTTAACGCATCCAAACTCAGGGTCAACGGTAAAGCCGGGCGGGCAGAATTTACAGAGTGGCTTGTGGTCCTCCACGTAGCATGGCGTGTCGCCGGGGCAGACGTGCGAGGCGCAGGGGTCCACGCATTGGTAGGACACGCACGCCTCCGTGGGGCCGCATCCCTCGTCACGGAGACAGATGGTGACCGAGGGGTTGCAGTCCTTCACGCAGATGCACACGGGCTGGTGGTTGAGCACATCACACTGCTTGGAGGGCGGGCAGGGCTGGCCTACCGAGCACGGGTTCACACACTTGTTGTTGACGCACGCCAGGTTGCTCGCGCACTCGTCGTTCGCCCGGCACTCTATGGGCCCTGTCGCACAGACAAACTCGCCCACTGAATTTACGACAAAGCCATGTTTACATATGCAAGTGGGCTCGTGCTTCCTGACTTCACACATCTTATTGGCTTCACACAACGACCCTCCGCGGACGCAGGGGTCATAGCACTGAGACTGGGCTCGATCGCAAGCCTGACTGTCGGGACATTCAGAGTCGCCCCGACAGCCAGTGGTTATGGGGGGGTCCTTGGGGCTAACATCACAGGTGGGGTCGGGCCTGCAGGCCACCTTGGGGCGGCCTACATAGCACTGCGGGCAAGAACACTGCGCCGCGTGTGCCACGGTCTGGCAGATTGCGCGCTCGCCGCACGCCCCCCGCACTGTGCAGGGGTCCTTACACTGTCCACTTATACATGCCTGAGTGGGCGGGCAGTCTGTGTCAAGCGTGCACTGAGTATCTAGTGTGAGAGAGGGAAGGGCGGGTGAGCATGCACACACGCGGTGGAGGCCAGGGAGCCGCGGCTCAGCCGAGGCCGGGTTGCTCCGGCTCGGCCTCCGGGCCTCCACCGCCTTCAGAGTTACAGACAAATGCAAGTGAGCTGCTGTTACATGGTTACACTTGTTATATATATACTTTCTGTGTGCACTCTGTGTATCTCGTTAATGCGGCCTAACATGTAATCATTACTTACAGCTGTATATATCACCTTCAACCTGAACATGAGAACCGGTCTAACACCCGTGTGCACACACCGGGATTATTTGTATAAACTAACAACATTGATCTCTTTTGTCTTTTATGTTTTTGGGTTTTAATAACACATATATGCGGCAACTAATTTCCGGACAACACACATGCTACTTTGCGGTTAGGCTGCAAAATTAGGGGTACAGTGTTCTTAGGTGTCTCGAGTTGGTAGAGGAAAACAATTTCTTTGGGGGGGAGTAGAGGTTAGGCGGACCATCACAACACGGGGACACAAAAAACGGGGTAGAAATCAGTAGTAGGTAGTAACAGTAGTGACAGTAGTAGTAGTAGTAATGGTAAGTTAGGGACGAGGACACAAAAAGGCAGATGTTCAACAGGTGTCTGAGTGAGTGAGAAAAGCTGTTTGACTGCCTCACAGGATGATTCAGGGACGGCCCTCTCTTCCTGTGTCTCGGCGCGAAGGATCCAAAGAGTGTGAAATCAGGGAGCACTCACAGGAAGGGGGAGGGAAGGGGGATGGAAAAAAAATAAAATAAAGGAGAGAAAACGGGAAATGGGCGACATATTCAGCGATGCGAATCCTTAAAAGAAAACGGGACTTTTCAATATTTTTTTCTTTTTTTTTCTCTCTCTCTTCCTCATTTCCATCCATCGTAATGTTGACTGTAAAAAGACTCTCTCTGTCTTTTTCCCTCATTTTTTTTTTCTCTCTCTCTCTAGATGGAACTAGAAAATAATCCTCTATTTTCTCTTTTCTGAAAAAGATTCATCCTTCCTAACCCTATAGGAGAGAAAGACAGGATGTTGCACTCCCATCGCTGATCAATGTCGCTTGCAAGGAAAAAAAAGAAAAAGAAGGGTTTTTTAGGGGGGGTGGATGGGGGCGTAAAAAGAAAATGAAAACAAAAGAAGATTGGCTTTAAGATTGGACTTTTTTCTATATATATAATTTTTTTTTTTTTTTTTTTTTTTTTTTTTTTTTTTTTTTTTTTTTTTTGCAACCTCTACTTTGAATGCACTACTGATGTCCGCTTTTAAGAAAGATATCGAAGCATTTATTAGCCAAAATTGGAGGAGCAGAAAATATAGCTTTAATATTTTATGATTATTATTGTTTATCATTGTTATCTTATTTTTTGCTTTAAGGAAATAAAAAGAAAGGATTTGAAAGAACTTCAGTAAAAAAAAAAAGCTAGAATGCATAGTATTACTAAAATATATATATAATTTCCTATGCTTCGATTTCTTCAGCAGTTCCTAAATACTTATATTTATGAACCAATCAAATTCACCCAAAAACAGTAAACTTTGGTTATTAGGGCCAATGTCTGGATAAATAAATGAATCTAAAAATCTATTAGAGCATGCGATAATGACTGGGGTATTAATGATAATGATTGTGATAATAATAACAGTAATAATGATGATGATAATAATAACAGTAATAATGATGATGATAATCATGATGACAATAAAAATGATAATGATGATGATGATAATAATAATGAAATGACAATGATGAATACAATATGAAATTCAAAATGATGAGCAAAAAAACGCCAATAGATAAATAAATAAACAAATGACACCAATGGAACGTTTATAACACTGGCCTTAACAACACGCAAGCAACTGCCGACTTTCTAACCAATCAACTCCAATCAACCCAAATCAAGTCTACAGCATCAACCTCCAATCCCCAATCCACGCAACGAAGGCACAGTACTTACCAGGGACGCACTTATCGTAGGGGTTGCCGTTCCAGCCACGGCGACAACGGCACTCGTAGCTTCCGTCGCGGTCGATGAGGCAGGAGGCCGCGGTTCCGCACCCCGTCTGGCGGCAGTCTCCCGTGCCTGTTGGGCCGAGGGCAAAGGGGGTGAGTGGGGGGGGGGGGGTCTTACTGATGCGTCTGTATGTCTGAGCAAATTACATGAGAGAGCTGCGTAGCGCGTGCTGGGGAAGTGATAGCGAGGGGCAGCTATATCCTTCTCAATGTCAAATCATTTCATGTGGCCCTCTACTGCATATAAGAGACACAACAAACGCCTTTCAGGTGTATCCATGGATGAAATGCGTTTGTTGTTTCTTTTTCATGTCTTGCGGCGGTACTTACATTTGACGAGGGGGTCGCCGTTGGGCAGGCTGGTGGGGCAGTAGCACTCGGCCTTCGTGTCGGTGACGATGCGGCACAGGGCGTTCTGGCCACACGAGATGAGGGCGCACGGGTCCACCTGCTCCTGGGAGCACAGGCAGCCGTTGCGGTAGGGGTCTCCCTGGCAGCCGTTGTTGCACTCGCACATGAAGCTGCCGACGGTGTTGATGCACTGCGCGTCGTTGGCGCACGGGTTGTTGAGGCATTCGTTGATTTCCTTCTTGCACTCCGTCTGCGGGTTGCCATAGAAGTTGGGCGGGCACGAGCACTCCACGTTGTGGCTGACCACTCTGCAGCGCGCGTTGGTGCCGCACGTACCCTGCAGGCAAGGGTTCTTGCACTCCAGGTCGAGGCACATCTGCTCAGAGTCGCAGTCGGTGTCCTTGAGGCACTCGTACTCCTCGCAGCCCTTGACGGGGTCGCCCTGGTAGCCGCTGTTGCAGAAGCACAGCGGCCGGTGGTTCGACACTCGGCAGTAGGTGTTGTCCCCACAAGCGTCGTCGCACGGGTCCTGGCACTCGTTGTTGACACAGCCCTGCGTAAGCGGGCAGTCGCTGTTGGCGCGGCACCCAGTCACACAAACGCCCGAGCGGCACAGGAAGCCCTGGGCGCACTCCTGGTCCTCGGCGCACTGGGCGCGGCAGTGGCCGTCGCTGCACGTCTCGCCGCAGTTGCACTGGTCTGAGGACGAGCACTGCTTGGTGCAGTAGCCGGATTGGCAAATCCCGCGGAAGGCGCAGTCGGTGTTAGAGGAGCAGGCGCGCGGGGGTGTGGTGCATGCGATGAAGGGGTCGCCCACGGCGGTTGAAGGGCAGCTACACTGAGCGCGGTGACTGACGACCTGGCACTGGGCACAGGTGCCGCAGGCGGTGGCGCCCTGGCACGGGTCTCGACATTGGCGATTGATGCACGACTGCTCCGCTGGGCAGGACGAGTCGGAGCGGCAGCCGAGGATGCACAGGCGTCCCTCGCAGATGTTGCTGGCGCCGCATTGGCTGTCGGAGCTGCAGATCTCCTTGCAGACGCCGCCCACGCAGCGCTCGTTATTGAAGCATTCCTGGTCGCTCTTGCAGAGGGGACGGCACGTGCCGAAGAAGCAGGTCATGCCGCTCGGACAGCCGCTGTCACCACTGCACGACGTGACCGGCAGCCGGCAGTTGACGTAGGGGTCGCCTACCAGGTTGTCCGGGCACGCGCACTTGACCCGGTGGGCCTCGACGGCGCAGCGCGCGTTGCCTCCGCAGGCGGTGGGCGACGCGCACGGGTCGATGCACTTGTTATTTACGCATGCCTGCGTGGACGGGCACTGTGTGTCGGCGCGGCAGCCGGCGACGCAAATGAGGTTACTGCAGAGGTCGCCAGAGCTGCAGTCGTCGTCGCGGCGGCACGTGGGGCGGCACACGTTGCTGACGCAGCGCTCGTTGTCCAGGCAGCTGGTGTCGGAGGAGCAGATGGCCAGGCAGCTGCCCGCCGTGCACACGAACCCGGAGGCGCAGTCGGAGTTGATGGCGCAGGTGCTGGGCTTGCGGACGCAGGCCACGTTGGGCGTCGGGTTGGGGATGAAGCCGTCGGGGCACGAGCACTGCGCGCGGTGGTTCACGACGGAGCAGAGCGCGTTGGCGCCACACACGGCCGACGAGCCGCAAGGGTCTGTGCAGCGGTTGTTCAGGCACGCCTCGCTCGCCATGCAGTCCTCGTTTGCGCGGCAGCCGATCATGCACAAGTTGTTCAGGCAGATGTGGCCCAGGAAGCAGTCGTTGTCCAGGCGGCAGGTCACTGTTCATGAGAGGTGTGGCGTCCAGTTAAAACATAGCGGTCTTTCAAAAATATGGGTATAAGCATATAAATGTCTATGTATATGTGCATGTGAAGTCCATGTAGACGTACTTGTGTGTATATGTATATGTATGTGTATATGTATGTATATATATATATGTATATGTACATATATGTATATATGTGTATATATATGCATATATATATATTATGTGTGTAAGTGTGTGTTTGTGTGTATATATATGTATATATATATATATATATATATATATATATATATATATATATATATATATGTATGTATGTATGTATATGTATATATACATATATACATATATATATATATATATATATATATATATATATATATATATATATATATATATATACATATATATATACATACATATATATGTACATATATACATTCATGTTTATATATATATATATATATATATATATATATATATATATATATATATATATATATACATACACAAACACGTATGCGTGTGTGAGTGTGAGTGTGTGTGTGTGTGTGTGTGTGTGTGTGTGTGTGTGTGTGTGTGTGTGTGTGTGTGTGTGTGTGTGTGTGTGTGTGTGTGAGTGCGTGTATGATTTTGTGAGTGAGTGAATGAGTGAGTAGGGTTTGTGTTCATGTCCAATGAATTACCTCCAGAAATACCATAAGGCAATGGCCGCTCGCTACTCACGTATGCAGGATCCGCTGACGCACTTCTCGTTGAGCGCGCACTCACTGTCACCGGCGCAGGCGGGGGCGCACACGCCGGCCTTGCACAGGAACCCGGCGGGGCAGTCGTTATTCCTCTGGCAGGTGGTGGGCACCCTGTAGCACTCGGTCTCCGCGTTGCCAGTGAATCCGGGCGGGCACGAACACTGGCGCCGGTGGTTGACCATCGTGCAGGCGGAGTTGAGGCCGCATGCGTCGTCCTCGTCGCACAAGTCGCTGCACTGGCCCCGTACGCACGCCTCCGTCAGGCCGCACTCCTGGTCACTCTGGCACGGCGCTGTCGGGGAAGAAAGGATGGGTTACACTCGGGATTCGCAGCTAAAGTGTTGCTAGAGTACAGAGGTCAGAAGTACAAACTATTTATTTGTCAAACAGCAAATGATCGAAGGAGAGAAAAGTTTCCCCAAATGCCTGTTGTGCAACTCACGTCTGCAGCGGCCTCCGTCGCAGATGGTCGGCGGCGGGCATTCGGTGTTGCGGCTGCAGGTTGCTTGGTAGGGGCGGCACCCGGTGACGCGGTCGTTCGGGTCGCCCACGTAGCTGGTCTTGCAGGTGCACACGGCGCGGTGATTGACGGCGCCGCACTCGGCGTTCGGGCCGCACTCCGCGCGTTCGCACACATCCTTGCACTTGGGCACGCTGTCCTCCTCGCCGCAGAAAGCGGAGTCGGGGCAGTCGCTGTTCACCAGGCAGATGACGGGAGGCTTGCAGCCATCAGAGTAAGCGTCGCCTACGGTGCCAGGCGGGCAGAGGCATTTGTAGCTGCCGGGAACGTTGTGGCACTTGGCTCCTGCACCGCACGGGCTGCTCCTGCAGAAGTCGATGGGCTGGCATCCCCTGAGGGGGTCGCCCTGGAACCCGTCGCGGCAGAAGCAGACCGCCTTGTGGCCCTCGGAGAGACAGAGGGCGTTCTCACCGCACTGGTTGTTCACTCGGCATGCAACTGCACACGTGGAAAACAGAAAATCGTTAGAATCAACCTTATGAAAATATCAGTCCTTTAACTGCTTAATTGATAGACATCAGACGAGAATAATTTTTGATACAAAGACTTGAAAAGACGCGCCAGACGCAACAGAAAAACGAAAACGGTACTCACTCTTGCACATGTAGTTGTCGCAGCGCTGGTTCTGCGCACACTGCTCGTCCACCTCGCACTCGATCTTCTGGCAGCCCTGGCGCTCGTCCGTGGCGTCGCCGAAGTAGCCCTGCGGTGGGAAACGTGGGCACTGAGTTTTCTTTTGTTTAGTTATTTATCTCTTTATTTATTTAGTTTGCAACCTTGTTTCTTTCTTTAATTTTTTTTTTAACCTTGTGTTAGGAAACTAATGAGAGGAAGAGAGAGAGGGAGAGAGAACAGACTTTTATGGCTTTTAACCGCATGTCCACACATTATGGAAGAGCGCTTACCTGCGGGCACTGGCACACGGCCTGGTGGTTGATTGCCACGCACTCGGCGTTACGTCCGCAGAGCGTGAGTCCGTCGCACACCTCGCGGCACTCAGCTTGGCCCACAAGGTTCGTGCGGCACTGCTCGTCGGCACTGCAGTCGGCGTTCTGGCGGCACTTGACTTCTGGTACGCAGATATTGTTCTGGCACACTTGCAATTCGGGGCAGTCATTGTTGGACCTGCACTTGGGCACGCAGGCGCCCTCGATGCACACCTGGTCGCTGAGGCACTCACGGTTGCTGGTACATCGGGCTGTGGGGGAGGGAGGATATGGTCAAATTATGACTATTTAGCTTATCCTTTTCTTATTGTTGTGGTCATGATATTCGCCATAGGCACAAAAAAAATCGGAAATAAAAAAGACATGGAACTCACGGAGGCAGACGCCGCCATTGCACTGCTCGCCGGAGGGGCAGTCCGTCTCCACCTGGCAGTAGGTAATGTCCGTGCAGCCAAGGGTGGCATCGCCAGTGAAGCCTGGCTTGCAGAAGCACTGGTGCAGGTGAGCGCGAGCGACGCACTCGGAATTCTTGCCGCACACGCCGGGGATGGAACACGGGTTCACGCACTTGTTGTTTACGCATGACTTGTCGGCCGGGCATTCGTTGTGGCCTAGGCACTCGAGGGCGACGCAGCTGGTGGAGGGGTCGCCGGTAGTGCGGGGAGGGCAAGAGCAGACGGCCTTGTGGTTGACTGTCTGGCACTGCGCGCCGATGCCGCATTTACCCGGGATCTCACATGGGTTGCGGCACTTGGCCTGGAAGCAGGCGGCGGCATCTGGGCACTCGCTGTCGTCGAGGCAGTCTCCGGGGTTGCGGCAGCCCGTTAACACGGGGTCGCCCACCTGGCCCTCCGGACACACGCACGAGTAACTGCCCAGGGCGTTGCGACACAAGCCAGTGCGGTGGCACGGAGTGTCACGGCATTCGTCCACATCCACGCAGCCTCCAGAGGAGTCCGTCTGGAAGCCTCGCTCACAGTAGCAAACGGCAGCGTGGTCCACCGCCTGGCATCGTCCAAAGCCACAGTTCACACTGTCACACGGATCTGCAGAGACAGGAAAAGAAATAACGAATGAGCAATCTTAATTATAATAATTATAAACAATAAAAAATACGAGTCTATAGAAAGTTACATACAGATACACTAATCAAAAAGGGTACTTACTGATACACTTATAGCTGAGGAGATCACACAGTTTGTTTGAAGCACAGTCATCGTTAACAATGCAGTCTCCCTTGACACAGCCGATGGAGAGGTCATTAGGGTCGCCGAAGTGGCCGGCCTCGCACTCGCACACTGGCTTGCGATTGACCACCTTGCAGCGGGCGTTGGAGCCGCACACGGCCGATGCGCAGGGCGCCACACACTTGAAGATACCTTCGCCGTTCCTCTCACATGCTTGGTCTCCATTGCACTGGGCGTCGTTGGTGCATTCGTTGGGCTTGGTGCATCCGGGCGCCTGGTAAGGGTCGCCCACGGTGCTGGCGGGACACGTGCATTTGTATGAGCCTGGAACGTTGACACAGGAGGCACTCGGGTGGCATGGCCTGTCCTGGCACTCGTCGACGTCGACACAGCCGCTGGGGCCTGGCAGGTATCCCTTGGCGCACATGCACTTCTTGGAAAGGCACACCTCGTTGACCCGACAGTCGCTGTTGCCTCTGCAGCCACCCACACATGCGCCCTCAATGCACACCTCACCCTGCAGGCAGTTGCCGTCACCAAAGCAAACCTTGTGGCACATTCCCGAGGTGCAGCTCTCACCCTGCGCACACTCCTTGCTCTGCTGGCATACAGGCTTGCACAGGCCGAAATCACACACAGTGCTCGGACCACATTCATTGATGGTGGCACAGGTGACAGGCACACGGACGCATCCTTGTTGTGGTGTTGGTGTTGGAATAAATCCTGAAGGACATTGACACTGTGCCAAGTGGTTTAGCACACTGCACTGAGCATTAGGACCACACACGTTCGGTCTAGAGCATGGGTCATCACATTTGTTGTTGACGCAGGCATTTGCTGTAGGACAATCGGTGTTTCCGCGGCATCCAAGGAGACACACGCCAGAAATACATGCCTGGTTGGTGGGACACTGTGAAGATGAGACACAGGGCACCATGCACATGTTATTGTAGCACCTTTCTCCCTGGGCACATTCGTTGTTGTCTCGACACACCACCTTGCACTGTCCATCCAGGCACAAACCTCCTTGGCACTGTGCATCATTGTTGCACGAAGATGTCAGGCGGGTGCAGCCCTTGTCTGGGGTCGGGTTGGGGACGAATCCAGTTGGGCAGGTGCAGATGGGCTTCCTGCTGACGACGTTGCACTGGGCGTTGGGTCCGCAGGCTCGATCGCAGGGAGAGGCGCAGCGGCCATTGATGCACACGCTGTCCAGTTGGCAGTCATCATTTCCGTTGGGACACATGCCTTCGGGGTGGCAACCGGTTGTGTACGGATCGCCGACCATTCCGACAGGGCACGAGCACTGGTAGTTCCCTCCGACGGGTGAGCAGGTAGCAGAGGCGTGGCATGGATTAGGGTCACACAGGTTCACGGCCACGCACTCGATCTCGGCAGACGGGTTTGGCCTCGAGCCCGGAGGACACTTGCAGTTGTAGCGATGGTTCTCGGCAAGACAGATGGCATTGTCACCACAAGCATCATAGCAGACATCGAAGCAAGTGAAGTCCAGTCGGTTGCAAGCCTTGTCTGTAGGGCAGTCTCTGTTGTCAATGCAGCTGACAGAGTAGCAGCCCTTGACAGGGTCATTGGGGTCGCCTGCAAACAAACCTGGTGGGCACTGGCACTGAGCGGCATGGTTGTTGGCAACGCACACAGCATTGGGCCCACAGAGAGTGGTGTCGCACACAGACATACACTTGCGAACATTGCCTCGCGTCTCACACTTCTCAGTCTCCAAGCACTGAGCGTCAGACTGGCACTCGTCACGGGGCACTGGACGGCACCCGCTGCGGTCGTTGGGGTTGCCTGTGAAGCCTCGGTCGCACTGGCACTGACCACGGTGATTGACGGCAAAGCAGGAGGAGTGGAGGGGGCAGTTGAAGTCCTGGCAAACGTCCACACACTTGAGGACGCCCAGCTGGTCGGGCCGACAAGCATCTGACAGCGGGCACTGGCGGTCGTCTTGGCAGTCGGGGACATTAGGCTCTGTGGAGATAGAGAAAAGATGTTAGGTTTGTTACAGCGGTGCCATGTGACTTCGGCAGTGTATCATTGTTTGCATCAAACGAAATCAGTTAACAATACTTACTCTGGCACTGTTTGGTTGTGGGGTTGCGCAGATAGCCCTCCTCGCAGCGGCAGAGCGGGCGTCCAGCCTGGCTGTAGCATACCTCGTTCTGGCCGCAAGCGTAGGAGAAGCAGGGGTCGACGCAGGCCTTGAGGCCCTGGGCGTCCACCTGGCACACCTGGCCAGGGCTGCAGTCTTCATCGGTAGTGCACTTGCTCTCGCGGTCCTCGGGCTGGCAGCCTGCAGTGAGGTCGTTAGGGTTACCCTTATAGCTGTCCTTGCACAGGCACGCTGATCGATGGGCCTGTGCAACACAGAAGGCGTTGGGGCCGCACTCAACCTTGTTGCAAGCGTCGACGCAAGTACGGCGTCCGCCGCTGGAGAAGCAGATCTCATTATCAGCGCAGAAGAGATCGTTTTGGCATCCTGCAGGCTGGCATCCTTCGCTGAGATTGGTAGGATCACCCTTGAATCCCAGAAGACACGTGCAGGCACCGTCGGTGCAGACGGCGTTGGGACCGCACACGATGGTGGCGCAGGGCGAGTCGGGGCAGGCGGCGGGGTTGTCGAGACACGATTCCGAGCCCACGGTCTCCGGCATGCACATCTGGAACGGGTTGCCGGAGAAGCCAGCCTGGCAGCGGCAGTCGAAGCTCCCGGGGGTGTTGAGGCAGACGGCGTTCATGCCGCACGCGGTGCCGATGCACTCGTCTACGTCCACGCACTCCACGTAGGGGTTGCCCTGGTAGCCGACGGGGCACACGCAGTCGACGCGGTTCACGCCCTGGCGGCACTCGGCACTGGTGCCGCACCGCGTGGTGGCGCAGTCGGCCTTCTGATCCTCCTCGGAGGCGCACGACGCGTATGGGTTCCCGCTGTAGCCGGTGTTGCACACGCACCTGTTGGGCTCGCCGTATTCGCAGTGGGCGTTGGCGCCGCAGCCGGGCGTGCACAGGGGCGGTGTGACCGCTGCGGGAAGAGGCACGTGAGAATCAATAACACAGACATGTGCTCTGCGTGTAAGTGTGCGCGTACGCGCGAGTGTGCATGCGTGTGTGTGTGTGTGTGTGTGTGTGAATATATACACACACACAAGCATGTTTATGTGTGAATATATACAAACATACACATGTGTATATGTGAACGTGTGTGTGTGTGTGTGTGTGTGTGTGTGTGTGTGTGTGTGTGTGTGTGTGTGTGTGTGTGTGTGTGTGTATGTGTGTGTGTGTGTGTGTAAACATATATACACACACAGGCGTGTGTGTGTGTGAATATATATACACACACATGAGTGTGTGTGTGTGTATGCACGTGCATGTGTGTGTGTATTTAAAATTTCCATTTTATGTATTCCTTCTCTGTTTGTATGCATAATTAACCCCGCAAGCAAGAACACAAACGATACTTACGAGGCACGCAGAGCAGGTCAGGATCTCCGAGGAAGAAGGGCAGGCAGACGCACTTGTTGGTGTTCTTGTCGCATTTGGCGCCGACGCCGCAGACGACGCCCTCGCAGCGTTCCTTGCAGCGGCCGTTGACGCACACCTGCGGGTCCTGGCATGGATTGGCAGCCGAGCACTGGTCGGGCAGGCAGCGGCCGCCGGGGAACGGGTTGCCGTTGAAGCCCGGCTCGCACTTGCAGGTCGGGCCATCGCGCGCCACGATGCAGTTCGAGTTGGGGCCGCACAGGAAGCCTTCACACATGGAGATGCAGTCGCCGTTGGGCCCCTCTGCGTAGCCGGGGTGGCAGCGGCACCAGGCAGCGTGGTCCTCGGCCTCGCAGTATGCGTTTGAGCCGCAGGGCAGGGCGTCGCACGGGTTCACGCACTCGCCGGAGTCGGTGCAGGCGAGATCGCCGGGGCAGTCGCTGTCAGAGTGGCACTCGACATCCTCCCTTCGGTTGCATGTGCCAATGAAGGGGTCGCCCTCGGTGCCAGGGGGGCACTCACACTTGAATGCGCCAATCTCATTGATGCAGATGGCACCCTGGGCGCAGGGGTTTTCGCGGCACTCGTCGATGTCCACACAGCCGGCGGGGCCTCTGTTGACGAAGCCGGGCTGGCACATGCACTGAGGGGGGTCAGAGGGCGTGCACTTGCTGTTGATGCCGCACGAGAAGGCTTCGCAAGGGCTCTTGCATCGGTTGTTGTCCTGGTTGTCGACGAAGTAGGGCGGCGGGCACACGCACTTCCCCGGCTGGACGCAGCGCTCGTTCACGAGGCAGTCGGTGTCACTGGAGCACTTTTCCTGGGCCTTCGAGCAGCCCGTGGTGTAGGCGTCTCCCGAGGAGTCGGGCGGGCAGCGGCACTCGAAGCCGCCCACCTGGTTGTAGCATTCGGCGCCGGGACCGCATGGCAGGTGCCCGTTGGGGAGGCGCGCCACGCACTCGTCGACGTCTTGACAAGACCCGTCTGGGAGGGTGGTGTACCCGGAGGGGCAGGCGCAGTAGCTGAGCCCGCCCTGGATGGTGACACACTCGGCGCCCGCGGGACACCGGTTGCCCAGGGAGCAATTGGCCAGAACGCAGTTCCCGTCCACGATGCGGTACGGAGGAAGGCACGTGCACTCCAGCGTGTTGCACTCTGAGGGGAGGAAGGCATCCTTTAGGAAGTGTTGCATTTTGGAGGAAAGAATGCGACAGGTATAGGATCAGTACACAAAAACCAGAAGTTGTTTTGCAACCTAATAAATACTTCAGGCGCAGACTACTTACTTTCGCAGAGGCTGAAGGGGTTTCCAACGTATCCGGGCAGGCACTGGCAGTCGTAGGACCCGGGCAGGTTCTTGCAGTTGGCGTTGAGGCCGCAGGCGAGCTTGCCGCTCACGGTCTCCAGGCACTCGTTGATGTCGCGACAGCTACTTGTCTGAGGGTCGCGCACGTAGCCGCGCTGGCACACGCACACGTTGGCGCCGAGGGCCTTGTCCTCGACACACTGCTCTCCTGTCGGGCAAGGGCTGGAAGCGCTGCAGTCGGGGCTCTTGACGGCGATGCAGCCCTCGCGGGCAGCGTCACCCTCGAATCCCGATGGGCACTCGCAAGTGAACTTGCCTGGCTCGTTCCTGCAAACCGCGCCCTTGCCGCACGGGTTGTTCACGCACTCGTTCACGTCTGTGCAGCCGAACACGCCGATGGGATTGCCGGAGTAGCCCTGCGCGCACAGGCACTTGGGCTGCCCATTGATCAGCTTACACTCGGCGTTCGAGCCGCAGCGAACATCCTCGCATGGGTCTGCAGGGGAGGCAAGGCTGCGTTAGTAAGGGCAAAAAGCAGTAAAAGAAAACTTAGGAGTGATAACACGCAGGACAATAAGCTCCCAAAATACAGTTGGAAACGAGACGTCGCAATCCACCAACTTCGCGACCTCCTGAACGAGACCCGTTGATCCGCACTACTTACGCCTGCAGTCGTCGCCGATATTGGGCTCGGGGCACATGCACTGGTTGGCGAGGCAGAGCGCGTTGCCGGGGCAGTCGTTGTCGCCCGAGCACTTCATGATGTCCAGGCACTGCGTGAAGGGGTCTGGGTCGGCCACCGTGTTGGGCGGGCACGAGCAGGTGAAGGAGCCCAGGGTGTTGGTGCAGAGGGCGCCCAGCCCGCACGTCCCGGGCCGACGGCACTCGTCCACGTCTGCGGGGGGCGGGGGAGAGTGGGGGAGAGAAGGGAGAAGTTAGCGAAGTCATTCTCACCGAAGGACGTTCTATTGCACTTGCCTTATCAGCTCTGGAATCTCTAACATCAACTATTACGTTTTACTTATTCATCTACTTCACTAACTTAGTGTTTATCCAAATCAGGGGGAAAGATATCTAAAACGTGAAATACACAAACATCAAATTGTTCATAAACGTTATCTCATCCACTTAGACCAACACATCTCGACCAATCCACCAGTCATTAGACTCTAGACAGCGTTAGTCGGCATCGACCAGTTTTACCAACACGCGTCGAAAACTTCATACTAACCACACTCCACTTCGGGGTTGCCGCCAAGGGGCTCGGGGCACGTGCAGGTGTAATTCCCCCGTGTGTTGGTGCACTTGGCGTTCTTACCGCAAGGGAACGGGTAGCCAAGGCACTCGTTAACATCTGCGCATGCAACGAGCGGCGGCGGGACGAGAGGGATGGTTAGTTCAGTCGGTTATGGCAACGGTGGTTAGGGGACGTCTATGGGCTTTGCTTTGGTTGGTTAGTTGGTTAGTTTAGCATAATTTGTTCATGCAGTTTTTGCCATTATGTTAACTGGAGGCAGTAATATTTACTACAGTTTGTTATCTAGCAATGTTAATCTTGTTAATGTTATAGAGCAATGCATGCAATGTTAAGAACATAAGAGTGTGTTATATAAGAATAACTGCGCTCAAAAGCATGCTGGCTGTGCAATGCTTGTTGAAATTACAGCTGATGTCAGTATCAAAATGCAGATCGCTGACCTACACTTACCTTTGCGATTAGACATTGCTTTAGTACTATCCACATAACCTGCTTTTGTTTCTTAATATTAAAAATAAGCGTGACAAGCCATGCATATATTAATGTCTTCTCGTTTACCATAAGCTTATAACTAAATTAATAAACAAAAATTCCCGATACCCTTAAATCAAGAGAGAAAAGCCAAGTTAGAAGACAAAACTAAATCTCCAACTTACCAAGACATTTCGTGTTCGCATTTCCTGAGAACCCTGGCGGGCACTGGCAGGTGAAGGAGCCCAGGGTGTTGGTGCAGAGGGCGTTGTCGCCGCACTGCCCCGACGGTCGGTTTCCTGCCGTGCATTCGTCCACGTCTGGGGGAGGGGTTGGGGGGGTGAGTAATTTGTTTATAATGACTATGATAATCATCCAATCCTTTATTTTCAACCCTTAGGTTTCTCTGTCTGATTCCCCTACTTATACATACATACATTAAATATATGCATTTACTCATACATACAAACACACAAATACATATATATGCATATATATATATATATATATATATATATATATATATATATATATATATATATATATATATATATAAGCATAATATATATATATATAAGCATAAATATATATATATATATATATATATATATATATATATATATATATATATATATATATAAGCATAAATATATATATATATATATATATATATATATATATATATATATATATATATATATATATATATAAGCATATATATATATATATATTTATATATATATATATATATATATATATATATATATATATATATATATATATATTTATATATATATATATATTTATATATATATATATATATATATATATATATATATATATATAAATATACATATATACACACATATATACACTTATTCCTCCATCCCTCCTCCATCATCCCTCCCGCCTCCTCCCCCTCTCCCCTCGTTCCCTCACCCATATACTCACCAACGCATCCCGCAGTGATGTCCTTAGGGTTGTAGGTCCAACCAGGATCACACATGCACATCGCCTCTACGCCATCGGGCTTGCAGGTCGCGTGTGGTCCGCACTCTACACCTTCACACGGAGCTGAAGAAAAAACGAGCGTGATTTTGTTATTAATTTTAAAATCTTTTCGATGTTTAATGGAGAGAAATAGAGGTTTGTGATAATGGTTATGATATCTAAGGGTAAGATGATGGTTAGTTATTGTTAGTAAAGTCATTCAATTGTTAGTAAAGTCATTCAATTGTTAGTAAAATTGCATGCTCTCTTTTCCACTAACATCTCTCATGCAGTAAAGCAGTTTCCCAACGCCAGCTTTAATTACATTACAAAATTAAAGACATATCTGTCTATCCGTGTGTGTGTATATGTATATGTGTGTGTGTGTGTGTGTGTGTGTGTGTGTGTGTGTGTGTGTGTGTGTGTGTGTGTGTGTGTGTGTGTGTGTGTGTGTGCACGCGTTCGTGCGTGTGCCTGGGCGTGCGTGTTTGTATGTATAAAACCAACAATCTTAGTGTGTTCTTATAAAAGCAACCCATCTTATAACTCCTGACTAGACACTGGTTCTGAGCATTGTTTACACTCGTGACGTCACACCCGACTGCTGCTAGCCTAACTGTCCGCGAAGTGTTGACAGTTCCGCCCGCTGACCGTGCTAATAACCTTTGCCAAGTTAAAAGCTCAGGCAAGATCTGGCTTCCCTTTTAGATATAGAAATTGGACATTTTTCTTTTGTATTTCCCTTTATTTAAGATTTAGGAGTGTCTGATATTTGATATATAGATGTTATCTGCTTAAAGCGATGGTTAATTTTAATCATGCTAAGAGATGAGAGAAGAAGATAAGTAGATAGCCAGAGAGAGAGAGAGAGAGAGAGAGAGAGAGAGAGAGAGAGAGAGAGAGAGAGAGAGAGAGAGAGAGAGAACAAGACATTGATCAAAAAGAAAGAAAGATAGAAAGCGATATATATATATATATATATATATATATATATATATATATATTTATATATATATATATATATTTATATATATATATATATATATATATATATTTATATATATATATATATATTTATATATATATATATATATTTATATATATATATATATATATTTATATATATATATATATATATATATATATATATATATATATATTTATATATATATATATATTTATATATATATATATTTATATATATATATATATATATATATATATATATATATATATTTATATATATATATATATATATATATATATATTTATATATATATATATTTATATATATATATATATATATTTATATATATATATATATATATATATATATATATATATATATATATATATATATATATATATATATATATATATATATATATATATATATATATATATTTATATATATATATATATATATATATTTATATATATATATATATATATTTATATATATATATATATATATATATATATATATATATATATTTATATATATATATATATATATATATATATATATATATATATATATATTTATATATATATATATATATTTATATATATATATATATATATTTATATATATATATATATATATATATATATATATTTATATATATATATATTTATATATATATATATATTTATATATATATATATATATATATATATATATATATATATTTATATATATATATATATATATATTTATATATATATATATATATATTTATATATATATATATATATATATATTTATATATATATATATATATATATTTATATATATATATATTTATATATATATATATATATATTTATATATATATATATATATATATATATATATATATATATATATATATATATATATATATATATATATATATATATATATATATATATATATATATATATATATATATTTATATATATATATATATATATATATATTTATATATATATATATATATATATATTTATATATATATATATATATATATATATATATATATATATATATATATATATATATATATATATATATATATATATATATATATATATATATATTTATATATATATATATATATATATATATATATATATATATATATATTTATATATATATATATATTTATATATATATATATATATATATATATATATATATATATATATATATATATATATATATATATATATATATATTTATATATATATATATATATATATATATATATATATATATATATATATATATTTATATATATATATATATATATATATATATATATATATATATATATATATATATATATATATATATATATATATATATATATATATATATATATATATATATTTATATATATATATATATATATATATATTTATATATATATATATATATATATATATATATATATATATATATATATATATATATATATACGTGAAGAACGATTATCCCCGAACACACAGAAAGCAAACCACCAGGTAAACAAGCAAACAACCAAACAAAACAAGAAACAACACACCCCTCCCCTCCCCTCCCCCCCCAAAAAAAAAGAAAAACCCTCCCAAAACCAAAACATGTTAGTAATTTAAAAGCACTCACGCATGCACTTGACTAAGGGATCGCCAGACAGCGGAAACGGACACGAACACACGAACGACCCGAAGGTGTTCGTGCACTTGGCTGCCTCTCCGCACGGGAACGGCTCCGATAGGCACTCGTCGACGTCTGCGGGGGTGGGGGCGGGGGAGAAGGGGAGATGGGGGGTGGGGAGGGGGTGGAGGTGAGAGGGGGGGTGGGGGGGAGAAGGGGAGAGGGGGGGGGGGGTGGGGGGGGGGAAGAAGGGGAGATGGAGGGTGGGAGGGGGAGGAGATGAGAGGGGAAGGGGGAGGGGAGGAGATGAGAGGGGGAGGGGAGGAGGAGAGTGGGAGGGGGAGGGGGGAGAGTGGGAAGGGGAGATGAGAGGGGGAGGGGAGGGGGCAGGTGTTAACGTGGGGGGAGGCAGGAGGAGGGAAGGGTAGGGGATGCAAGGATATTGGAGGGGAAGGGGGGGGGAGGGAAGAGGGAAAGTGGGAGGGGGTGAAAAAGATCCGAAAAAGGGGGGAAGAAAGTAGGAAGAGGAAATGAGAGAAGGAGAAGAATAAGAATAAGAAATTTATGTGATAGTAGTTGCAAATGGAGACGGAAGTTGAAGAGCAGGAACGCAAAATAAAGAAGAAAAAAGAAAGGAGGAAAGATAGTAAAAAAAATAGGTTGGGAGGCGGTGTGGGGGGGGGGTATGCCGAGCCAATTTCACGGGATAATTTTGAGTGTGGTAAAGGGTAGGGGGGGGGGGGTCAGAGGGGGGGGTCAGAGGTGGGGGGGGGGGGGTGAGTCATGGGGTTAGAATTATGTAGATTACTTACGGTTGAGCTTGAGATAACGATTATGTTAGTAATCACAATAAGCTAATTTTGGTTAGTAAGCAAAATCATGCATAGCATGCACGGCTGTTAGTTTTATTTGTTGTTAAAAAAACACGAGTTTACATAATGCACACGCATACTCACAAACATAAAATTAATATACATACATACATATACACACATATATCCTTGCGTGCGTTTATATGTATATCCACAATAAATTTGTATACATATATGCTTATATAGAAACATACATTAATACATGCATACACACACATACACACACACACGCACACACACACATCACACACACACACACACACACACACACACACACACACACACACACACACACACACACACACACACACACACACGCGCGCGCGCGCGCGCGCGCGCGCGCAGACACGCACAGACACGCACACACACACACACATGCACACACACACACATATATATGTATATATATATATATATATATATATATATATATATATATATATATATATATGTATATATATATATATATATATATATATATATATATATATATATATATGTATATATATATATATATATATATATATATATATATATATATATATATATATATATATATATACATATGTATGTATGTATGTATGTATGTATGCATGTATACATATGCCTTGTACACAAAAAATAAACGCACACACAGCCCCCTACCTTTGCAAGACGAGTCGGGCGGGTTCCCGACGAAGCCGAAGTTGCAGGAGCACTGGAAGCTGCCGGGCACGTTCTGGCACTGCGCGTTGGGGCCGCACGGGGAGAGCCGGCACTCGTCCACGTCGCGGCACTCGGCACCCACGACCTGGAAGCCATCGCGGCAGAAGCAGACGCCGGTCCTGCACTCTGCATTGTTCACGCAGTCGAAGTTCGAGTTGCACAGAATGTCAACGGAGGTTTGCTTGCACGCGACATCAGGCGTGGGGCTGGGACTATACCCCTGAGGGCACAAGCACGTGAATCCCGGCTGGGCATTCTGGCACACGGCGTTGATGCCACACGGGCGGTTGAAGGCCGTGCACTCGTCGATGTCTAAGAGGGGGGGGGGAGAAAGGGAATTCTTTTTTGATGTCTAATTCTTATGTCAGTGCGACGTCTCAAAGTAACAGAATGAAGAAACGAGGAAGACAATAGTAAATGAGGGTAACCATAATAATATCGATGGAAAAAATAACAATAATAACAATAACACAACAAACGGCAACAATGACAGTCACAAAAAAAAAAAAAAAAAAAAAAAAAAAAACAGGAAAACAAAAAAAAGTTCTTTCAACTCACCAACGCATCCGATGTAAGGGTCTCCAGTGTAGTACTCTTGGCACTGGCACGTGTAGCTGCCCACGCTATCGATGCAGACGGCGTTGGCACCGCAAGGGTTGCTTTGGCACTCGTCGACGTCTGTGAGTGACCGGAAGAAGGCGTTAGAATAAAGTTGTGGAATTATTTACACTCACAGAAGAACCGATGACCCGACGCCGAGGATTGTAAATTGTAAATTGTGAATCATTCTGATAATAATAATTACGACAAGAATAATGAGAACATTAATAATAATAATATCAATAATGATAATAATAACAATAAGAATAAGAATAACAATAATTATAAAAGCAATGATATTAATATTGATATTATCAATGAAAACAAAACCAAAATTACGAATATTGAATTCATCTCGACTTTTCGACAAAGGTCATTTTTGTCTCGTTATTTTTTCATTTACTATTATCACCATTGTTTTTGTTCTTGTAAGAATGCAAAGTACAGTACAGTATATCCTTGAGAATTAAAGCATTTGCACACTGAGTCACAGCAGACAAAGCAATGTCATGTCACTATCCCGCTAAATATACTGAAGGCTCGTATCCCTCGTAACTTACTGAACAAACTGTGGAATAAACAATATTGAGCATAGTGAGTAAAATACAGCAAAGCCAAGTTAACACTCTAAATCTAACCAAAACGCATGTTAATACCACCCTTAACACTGTTATTGTTAAAGTGTAATCGACAAAATACGTATTAGTCTAATTGTTCCAAAGGTTAATTGGCGTAATTCCGGTGTTAATTAGTAAAAAAAAAGTTCATAAAAAATATGGCGATCCTTTTTCATTACCTTGACAAAAAAAAAATCTAATCTTAAAATTAATAATAAACACATACCTAATTCACGAAATACAATATTTATACAGTAATGCAACTGGAATACCTAATATATATATATCAATACATGCATATACAAAAAGATAAAAGGTGTTTGTAACGTCAGTTTGTACAGTCAGATACAATATTCATTACAGAACTAAGGATACAGTGAATTGACAGAAGACATTATATAAAAAAATACTTTTGAATTCAAGAAATACAATACATGCAGTACAAAATCTTATAGATTATTCAGAAGTTCCTTTTACAATAGCTACAAGATACAGTAAATTTGCATTAAGCACGCATACACACGAATGTTCAAGTACAATCATTAGCGGAAAAATAGATACTAGGAAACTACACATACAGAGGAAATCTATACATCATTCACACCCAAAAGAAACATACATGATGAATAACAAAGTAAATCTAAAACAAACAGAAGTAGTAACAAATATGCACTACAGAAGGCCTTTTTGTCGCGCTGTTCATCGGGTGTCAGAAGTGACTTTGACAGGGGTCGTCCTGGTGTCATATGTCATCTTGCGTGTCCAGTGGGAAAGTGTGAGTCTTGAGAGACAGTCGGTGGTCGCGAGATGGGTGTTTGGGTGAGGCAATAGAGTATAGGTATATATATATATATATATATATATATATATATATATATATATATATATTATATATATATATATATATATATATATATATATATACATATATATATATATATAATATATATATATACATATACATACACATATATATGTATATATATATGTATATATATATATATATATATATATACATATATATATATATATATATATATATATATATATATATATATATATATATATATATATATATATATATAATATATATATATATATATATATATATATATATATATATATATATATATATATATATAATATATATATATATACATATACATACACATATATATGTATATATATATATATATATATATATATATATATATATATATATATATATATATATATATATATATATATATGCATACATCGGTTTTCTACGTCCTGACAATGGTATCGAATGAGTAAAAATCGTCAAAGTGTTTGCTGGATCAATAACTCTCAAGTCCGGTTTTCTTCTTTTTTCTCCGGTGCTTGTAGAGCAAGTACAAGCCGTGTTGGTCCAAGGAAGAAAGTCGGGCAAGTTGCATAACAACTTGTAATTAAGCGCAAGTAAACATAGGCTTTGGAGCTAAAAAAGGAAAGGGGAAAATACATAGGTCGATAATCGACATAAGTGCAGAAAAAATCTAAATACAAGAAGGAAAAGTATCCTCAAGTCGCTCGCAGAGAAAGACATTCTTCTCATTCCTCTTGTCACAAACACTTGAAGGTGTTACAGCGTTTCCTCCGGCGCCTCTGGAGGGAGGAAACGGAGGAGAAGAATGGCGAAAGATCCTCGCTCAAAGGAGGAGGCGAAGGAGAGAGAAAGCAAGGTCCAAGGCGAGGGTCCTGGAGCGTCGGAAGGGCGTCGTCGGGAGGAGAAGGAGGACGGGAGGCTACTAACTGCTGCAGGCCACGTCGCCGTCGCCCTCGAAGCCGCGAGGGCAGTAGCACTTGTACGAGCCCGGGACGTTCATGCACTTGGCATTCTCTCCGCAGGTGGACGCCAGCCCGCACTCGTTCACGTCCGTGCACTTCTCGCGAGGTTTCCCCGAGAAGCCGGCGGGGCAGCGGCACTCGTACGAGCCCGGCGTGTTGATGCACGTGGCCGCCGCGCCGCACGGGAAGCTCCAGTTGGACGCCGCCTGGCTGATGGCGTTCTCCAGCGCCTCCGGCAGCAGGCTCTCGAACAGATCGTCGACGAGGGTGACGTCGAGGGTGACGGTGGTGGTCGTCTCGGCGCCGTCGTCGTCGCGCTCGGAACTCGGGTCGACGCACTCGTTGACGTCTTCCAAGGTTAGCGTCGGACGGATTAGTTTCCCTGACTCATTATTCCTCTGGGTCTTTTTTAGTAGGTTAGGCCATAAATGTGCTTCTAAGTGTATGTTGTGTTGATTAATTCACCATGATTCTCCGGTAAGCTAGTAATTAGTGCCTGCTATCATTACATTAGCATAATACGCGTCATTAGTTACAACAAAACAACCCTTTGTTTCAAAAGCTATACTAGCTAACTCTGTTACGGAATTAGTGAGACAAATTACAAAATACTGATTACCCCCAAATAAAAGCTATGTTACTACTATCTCTAACAGACTAACCCCCCCCCTAAATAAATGTCGAAAAAACTCTCCCCGTTTTCTTTACCTTGGCAGGCGCCGTACATGTTGTAGGGGTCACCGATGTAACCGGGAGGGCACGCGCAGGTGTAGTTATTAATGCCGTCCACGCAGATGGCGTTGGCTGCACAGGGGCTACCTGCGCATTCGTTGATGTTCTGCGGGAAGATCGTATAATTTCGATAATTAGTTACATATACGGAAGAAAAAAAAGATCCTATTTCTCATATGGAAGCAATTGGCAGCCATTTCTCTATGCCAGCTCCTTTCCGCTCACCTGACAGCCTGCCCTCGAGTAAGCATCTCCATCGTATCCGAGCGGGCACTCGCAGTCGTGTCCTCCCTCGCGGTTCCGGCACTTGGCCAGGGGACCGCAGACGTCGGCGCGTTGGCACTCGTCGTAATCGGCACACTAAGGAGGGAGGGAGAAAGGGATATTGCCGATATTCATTATTTGTGTTTTCCGATTGCATTTATCCTTCAATTCCTCTCTATATCAGCTAAAGAAAACATCTACAAAAATAAACACAGACATAAAATAGGATATAAACTTACCCCATCGTAAGGGTTGCCAACGAAGCCATCCGGACACGTGCAGGTGTAGTTGCCGTGATGGTTGGTACAGATGGCGTTACTCCCGCACGCGGCCGGGTCGTCGCATTCGTTGATGTCTGCGGGAGAAGGAAAAATTATATTAGTATCAGGATGATGGTGATTGTGCTGGTGATAATGAGTGATAATGATGTTGATGGTGTGTGTGTGTGTGTGTGTGTGTGTGTGTGTGTGTGTGTGTGTGTGTGTGTGTGTGTGTGTGTGTGTGTGTGTGTGTGTGTGTGTGTGTCGTCGCAACAACATTGCAACAGATATCCTATGATTCAACAGACAACCATACCAATCAATTTAAAAACTCTTTTCCTATCCTGAAATAATCATAATAACAAAAGTGATGATACAAAGCTTGCAACATCATCTCTCGTGTTTTTTTCCCACAATTTTATTCCAAAATGAGACCCAGTTCCTCCGAAAACGAAGCCGGTGAGGACCCGTCCTGCATATCCTCATCAGGCAAGTTGATCGCCGGCCTTCGCGCAAGACAAATCCTCTTAATCATTATCCCCAAACTGCCACATAATTGGTCTAATTATCCGACGCGATCTATTATCCGGTCGCGTCGTATTAAGCAGGAGTCCTTCGGTTCCTGCGTTTTTACAAGATTAAAATGGCTTCGGGCGAATTTTACATCGTTCCCACGTCTAATACAACGCGCGGGCTAGATTTCATGGCGTTACCATCCTTATTGACGGGGGAGATAGAGTTCACATCCGCTTGGCAGGAGCTTCAAGGTAAGTTTCTGACGCTTAACCTATGGTCGATTTATACGACTGACACCTTTTTTTGGATGCCATTGTCGTCCTTATGACGTTATTGCATTGGGGTCATAGTTCTAAAAAACTACATTTGATCCTTCGAATCCGGAATTTTGTTTGTTTTTGAGCAGGATAAAGCGTGGGAGAAACACATCGGAAATATTGCTATAAATCATATAAACAAAAGGAGGTTTGCCTGAACTCCAAGTGTGTTCTCGTATAGCAAAGGTAAAATACATGCATAAAAAGGAAAATAAAGTGTATCCTTGTTCACTTCACTTTTCATTTACGTTCGCGTCCAGTGTTGCCAGATCCCATTCGATGGAAACCTGCGATAACAAAGTTTATTACTAGAGGTTTCTCACGACCTAGCGATTGGTAACATCTGTCAAAAAAAAATGACCCTCGGGATGGAAATATTCAAAGAAAAGAAAAAAAAAACTTTCACGTGTCGATAAGCATCTAAATTCTTTTATTCTTTGATGATTTGATTATTGATGAGCATTTGACCTTCTGACAATGTGACCTAAGGTATCTGGCAACTATGCCGTCGGCCGCTACCCGCTGACTTTCTACATGCGCGCGAGGTCAAAGGTCGCCGCCAGTGTGTCACGGAGACCTGGGTAGGGGAGGGGGGGTGGAGGGGGTTGTAACGTCACGTTCTCGGCCATTCGTCTAAAGAACAAAATGGTTGTTGTTGTTGTTATTTATAGGCTATGGGTGTTGGCCAGAGCGTGAGAGAGAGAGAGAGAGAGAGAGAGAGAGAGAGAGAGAGAGAGAGAGAGAGAGAGAGAGAGAGAGAGAGAGAGAGAGAGAGAGAGAGAGAGAGAGAGAGAGAGAGTATGTGTGTGTGTGCGTACTCGTGTGTGAAGTTATACTGTGGATCATCATGACCTTTCGTTATCTAAAGGGATCTTTGAAATGGTGCCATCTCGTCGACATTCCAGAGAGAAATAGGAAAACGATAAGATAATATAAGATAAAAAATAATGACGACTGAGATGTTATGCCGTAAATATTATAGATTTATTTTTAATTCAGTTTTTAGGTATTTTTCTTTCCTTCTTTCTCTTATCACCCTTCTTATTCCACATTTTACTTTTCTTATTGTTATCATTATTTTATTTCTTCTATTTCTTTTCCTCCTCATTTCTTCTTCTTCTTCTACTTCTTCTTCTTCTTCTTCATTTCCTCCTCCTCCTCCTCCTCCTCCTCCTCCTCCTTCTTCTTCTTCTCGTTCTTCTTCTTATACTCATTTCTCTCCCATTCCCAATCCCTCCTTCCAAAGTTTCTCTCCCTCGCGTTCCTTCCAAGGAATCATCCACTCCTTTCGGAACTTTCTCACAGCGCGCGAGTCAGAGGTCTTGCCGGACTGTAAGCGACCTGTGTCAAGGTCCTTAGGCGTTTTAACATCAATTGTCTGCTGTTTGTCTTCAATGGGTTCGTGCTGTATAGGGTCGCATCCTCATTATATTCTGTGTGATTTAATGGCCATAATAATTGTTTTTAATTTTAATGATACGTCGTCCTGAATCGCGAGGGGTTTAATGAGAGAATAAAATTAAGGAAATCGTGAATTAGGTACGTGGTATTTTGGTGATGTTTTAGCAGTGATAAGAGATGATAACGTGACGACTTTGTATTGGCAAACAAGGGACCTGACTCGAAAGAATCCGTCCTAACACACAAACACACACACACACACACACACACACACACACACACACACACACACACACACACACAGAAGAGCGTTACTACTCAGCTTCTCTCTCCTTCCCCTACCCCCTTCTCCTTCCCTTGTCTCTTCCCCTGCCCCCTTCTCCTACCCTTCCCCCTTTCTCTTCCCCTACCCCTACCCCTGCCCCTTCCCCTGCCCCTACCCCTTTCTCTTCCCCTACCCCTACTCCTGCCCCTACCCCCCCACTTTCTCGTGAAGACGCAACTTTCCAAGACTCTCACTTGACGTTGGAAAATAATGCCACTACTTTATCACGGTGTCGCAATAATGTGACAAGGGGGGAGGGGAGAAGGGAAGGAGAATGAGGCGGGAAAGGGAGGGGAGGAGGGGGATGGAGGAAGAGGAAGAAAGGAAGGGGAAGGAGGAGAAGGAAGGAGGGAGGGAAGAAGAAAAAGGAGGGAGGGAGGTGGAGGAAGGGGAAGAAATGAAGAGAGACAAAGAGATAGAAGTGAAGGGAAGATAAGGGAAGAGAAGGGAGATATGAGAGGAAGGAGGAAGAAAAATAGAAAAGAGAAAGTAAGGAAGGAAAGGGAAACGAAGGAAGAAGGAGGAAGTGAAAAAGAAGGAAACGAAGGAAGAAGAGGAGGAAGTGAAGAAGAAGAAGAGAAAGAAAGAAAAGGAGAAAGGGCAAGAGTGATAAAAAATAGAAAGGGTAGGTTTGAGAAAGAAGAAAGGGGTTGGGGGGAGGGATTATAGGGGGGGGGGTTATACATTAATCTATGCTGTTGAAATCTTTGAATAATGATAAGGAAGTCAGATTCTCTTTTTCGTTTTTTTCGATCATTTTCAGTGTCATTTCGAGTTTTATTACGGGGAAATTATCGAGATAATCACCTCTTACCTTTGCGGAAGTGTTGTTTAAGCGGCCTTAATTAAGCGTTTCCGTTTAGTCATTCTAAGAATAATTTTCAAAAAATGTGATACTCTTAACAAAATAAAGAAAAAAACAAAGACGCATCGGCATCCGCATCTCGACTGTCGTTTGTCTCGAGGATTTTCGAAAACAAATTAAATGAATTGTTAGTCTCGCGATGTCTGGCACTCGAGGGACTATACAGCTATTCTTCCTTGACAGCCGTGACCCAGCGTGACCTCGGATAGGAATTTTGACCCTAGTGCGAGCCTGTCTGTCCTCTTCCATTCCTTCTAGAAGTTTCTATTTCGTCTTCTTCTTTCTTCTTTCCCTCCTTCTCTTTCTTTTCATTTTCTCTCTTCAACTCTCTCTCTCTCTCTCTCTCTCTCTTTCTCCTTCCTCTCTTCTAATCCTTCTCATTCTCCCTCTCCTCCTCTCCCTCTTTTACTCCCTCCCCTTCTCCTTCCCTTCTTTTACTCCTTCTCCCTCTTCTTCCCTTCTTCCACTCCTTCCCACTCTCCTTCCCTTCTTTTACTCCTTCTCCCTCTTCTTCCCTTCTTCCACTCCTTCCCACTCTCCTTCCCTTCTTTTACTCCTTCCATCTCACTTCCAATCCTAGGAATGACTCCACACTGACCTCAATAACCCCCCACCCCCCACCCCCTCCCTCTCCAACAATCACCGACCATCCGGCCCCGAATCCCATTTCTCACCGCGATTGTGATTGTGATTACGTAATAAACAATCGAAATGTGTACGTCGCTGTTGCTCCGAAGTTGCTATCGGCGAGTCACCAAAGGAGCTGTTTGTCTCCGGTGTGACAGGTGGGCGGGGAGGTGGGCAGGGGGGGGGTTATGAGATGTCATTTTGTGTTTGTTTGTAGGTGTGTATGCGGGAGGGAGGGAGGGAGGGATGGAGGAAGAGGAGAGGGAGAAGATAGGGAGAAGATAGGGAGAGGGAGAGGGAGAGGGAGAGGGAGAGAGAGAGAGAGAGAGAGAGAGAGAGAGAGAGAGAGAGAGAGAGAGAGAGAGAGAGAGAGAGAGAGAGAGAGAGAGAGAAAGAGAGAGAGAGAGAGAGAGAGAGAGAGAGAGAGAGAGGGGGGGGGGGGGAGAGAGAGAGAGAGAGAGAGAGAGAGAGAGAGAGAGAGAGAGAGAGAGAGAGAGAGAGAGAGAGAGAGAGAGAGAGAGAGAGAGAGAGAGAGAGAGAAGCAGCGACACAGAAAGAAACACACACGGAGATATAGACAGATAGATAGACCGACAAGCACAGACACCCAGACATGTGCGTATGCGTGTGCATGAGACAGACAGACAGTTACACGGATCCGTATCGTTAAGAGAACAAGACCAACGCCCTTCGTTTCATATTCTCTCATTCTTTCTTCCTCTTCTCTCTTTCCTTTCTCAACATCCTCCGCCCTTTGCATGTATGTGCGACTTCCTCTT